TAGTAGCAGGGGCACGCGGATGCCATCCTCATAATTCCAGCATACAACAGGGCACATAGAAAAATGTATTTTTTGAAAGTGAAAATGATCAGTATCATCAGCTGTATCATTTAACTGAATCGATAAGGTGGTTGAGTATGTCACATGTGCGCCTTACCTTCCAGGTCCGATGGTAACAAGCCTGGGCGATAGGCACAGTAAATTTTTTCTTTGTTGTAAAACCGAAGTGGAGATATTTTTCAACCGAATTCGTAAAACTAGCTTACTATTTATTCGAAACGAGAGACATGAACAGAGTTTGTATGTTCAAGTTATTATATCTACGATTTTATACGAGCTCGAAATATCCAGCATAAGCTCACTCTGTGACTCTTTCGTGACCTTCAAGAAAAACCAAATAAAAACAATAAAGAATCAGTCTATGTCGACGCTATTTTGTACTCTATTTTCTAATATTGCACATAATATCAATACTAGCTGCCGTTTTGGCGTTTTTTCCCGCCCTAAAAATAATGAAGCGTGATAAATCCTTCTGTAACGCCGCAGAAGTCTATAGTATACCATCGTATGTGACACAAATCAGTAATTTCATACTGATCATCTAACCACAACGATAATTCTTGTAGCTATTGCATCTCAAGTATCTGGCGTTATAACATAATATTATATATACTATAAAAACAAAAAAAAAAAACAACTAACTATATAGAATTAGCTTGCTACGAATAAATTGCACAAATAAATTTATTGTTTATTACTGTAATACTGCCTAAATGTTAAATGCGGATTCTTCAACTGTCAATAAAGTTCTAACCCATCCTATATAATATAAAGATGAAACTGTCACCAAGGTTACTCACACTACGCTATGTTGCCCATAATAACAACCGGGACATTTGTACAATGTGCATAGGTTACTTTTTTCCGGAACAGAAAAATCAAACTGGCTCTTTAATAATATATCGCTTCATGTAGCAACGCGCAGGCTATGGTTCGTAGCAGATGGAAGAAACAAGCTATGGACGTATGTGAAATTGCCGCATGTTGCCCATATAGAAATAAGCAGACAGGCGTCACCGGCGGGCATGTAAATAATAAGGTAGAATGAGACAGATCCGAAGCGACCCATTTGTTGTTAGTTCGTTGGCACTTGATTAATAAGGCCGAGCCCGAGCATTTTTCTTCCTTTGCCTTCGGCTTTTTCCCGACGTTATGGACGTTTTTGGCAACGCTCTGAGCGCTCTATTCTACACGCATTACCTGTACTAACAGTAGTGTTATGCATAAATGAACCTGAAATACCTTCGTTCGAATAGCCGATTGGGCAGTCTGAGTCGAAATGTGTTTTTAAGTAACAACGAAGTACGGTGCTTCACAACAGCAAGAACAACAACAACAACTATCATTAGCAAGATAAGATAAGTTTCTTTTTGCTCCAAATAGCACTCGCCTGGTACGAAAAAAGGGAAATGTCGTCAAAATAGGAGATATCTTTCTGTGTCCGCGGACACCAGTCTAGATGGCGTCAGAAAGCTTTCTTGGCTTTAGAGAGCATTGAGACATCGATTCGATTAAATCCTCACACAGATACTGACTTACATATTATTATAGTACAGATTCGCATCAAGACTGGCTGGCGTGCGCAAATTACCATCACTACTCGATCACTGTCAAGTAACCCAAGGAATTCAAGCCTAAACTCTAGATTCACGGCAGATGGAACCGGTGAGAACAGATAGATCTCCAGGGAACCTATCTATGACAATTCCTTGCACTGTATCTACCAAGTTAACGCACACACGAGAAAACCAGCTCCATCAAACACTAAGCATACGGCATTGTCCTAGATAATTACTAAAAACCCTATCATACCGTCCTACAATTTACCCGAGGATAGCAAAAGGGCCGTAAGATACACAAGGGAAACGTTGTCCAAACAACAAAAATAGACAATGGCCAAGTCTATAATGCAAAATAAAAGCGGAACGAGTTCTCCGGAGATCTGGTCATTATTGATACAACTTGTTTTGCGTCCGTGAGAGATATAACAATTATCAAACTCTATTTAAAAATAAATAAGTCACATGACTATAGCACTTTATGATCCTTCATTTTCGTCTTCGCTTAGATTTAAACGTTCAAATATATCGGGATTTTCGTCCCGATACCCAATTAAATGGCTTGGAAACCTACTGTGTATCTTTGCAATTAGCAAATACGTACCCCACTGAGCTATTTGGAACACTGAATTTTGACGTTTAATCACACTGAAATAGTACATCAAGTAGTGTAGTATTTAACCGTTCATCAAAGACGTTCGAAAAGTGTTCAGCCGTTCAGAGACTGATGCAAGGATCAACGATATCCAAGATAGATGCTTCATCCTCTTCGACCCCAGTTAAAGTCGAAGCAAAAAAATAATTGTCATATTATAGAAAAGTTCGCGTCTCATTACTTCAACTCTGTGAAGCTTCTATTTTGTAAAATTACCGATTTTAGATATCACTCCCTTTCACTAGCTTACTTACAAACTCTAATAGCTGTTCACTTTCACATGTTTATTATTATTATAAACATTGTTCTTATAACCAAATCTTGTGTATTTTATATATAAATGATCATTTAACGATGTATGAGCCGTGCCAAAAAACAGAGAAATCAATAGACATGTATATTGTCGAAATACGATTTTTGAAAAGTTGACTTTTCGGAAATAAGAGATAAAAATCTACTGAAATACTCCTTAATATATTCGGAAAGCTGTGTGTGCTCGAAGCGTCAGGGGACTTATACTACCCAACTAGATTGCATAGCTTCTCTAAAATCTAAATGATATAACCACTATTGTCTCTTTTATAAATTTTGCAGCTGTATTCTTCATTAACACTTACTGAAGTGTTACTAGCCATTCCAATATTTGTTTCTGATTATTATGTACCATTTTGGTGCCATATGGGGAAATGGAGTATCTAAGTATCCCTTTTCTCTAACAGCCAGATCCATATTTGATGCAGTCATATTATACTCTTTGATCAAGTCCGCGCTTCCAGTAACTATGGCGTGTACTTTTGATCATGTTTATTGAACCTAAGCACCTCGGTATAGCTACGAAGGCTCGTTAAAGACAGAAAACAGTTTACGTGAGTCTCGCTTAACTCGTCTGTGACTGAGAACGATAGCGATATCAAGCCTTGCAAGACATCTCCACCTTCAAACATTCACAACAATGCAGTCACATGTGGACGTTTAGAACAAAGATCTGTTATTTTATATGTTAGTAACGGCGCCGATTTCCATTAGTTATAATAAGAATCACTGTTCTAGCATGACCTTGTGCTTCAGATCAGAATCACTGGATTCCAGAAAAGGGGATTCTAGGAAAAAGGGGGGCAACTTCATATTTACAACGGAACTGCGAAGCAGTTTAAAATGATGTGGCCACTGGATTCAATTTGGCTTAAATATATTTAATCGTCTACCCATTTCTAAAATGTAAGAGGTTATTTAAGAAATCATACGGTAGGTCTGCTGCAAAAAATTCGAAATACCATCACGTTATTTGATACGAACCAGCCATAGCGGCACCACTGCTGATGCCTCATTGAACGTAAGTGGGGCCGCTGTTTGTACCATTTTGGTTGTTTGCCCGGGAGCGGTCATAGAATTCGTGTAGCGTCGAGGTTAGCAACTTGGCTCATTTGGCGTTGTCCCATACAGTGCCATGGATATCGAATGAATACTAGGTACACCGCGCTAAACCGCTTATCCTTGAATGGCGTACGCCCCTTTTTATAGCGCATTGGAGACGTGATAAAACCAGGAAGTGTATCCGCATTTAGAAACGTGCACGACAAATAGATACATATGGCAACAAAAGTAACAACAACGCAAAAAATCTACTGCTCTCACAGGTTGACTGTGCTGGCGTAATGCAACCTACCATTATGACCGACCACTCGCTGTGTGCCATAATAAATATTCGGACGGAAAGGTAAAGTACTTCGTTGAACCTAGTGTTAACACTGGCTTGTTTGACATTCGTCATCAGTTGACCAGATGAGGCATCCGTAAATTCGGTCAACGGTTTCGGTTAACTTCGAGGATTATAGAGCCCTCTATCAGAGGTGTGGACGTTAAACAAGCAGGTTTGCCGAAGCTACAAGAACATTAAGAAGCCCATACGTGCCCCAGCTATTCAGAGCTCCGAGGATTCAAATCGACACCCGCTATCGTGATTTTCAGCGCGACAGCTACCACTAATAACGTAGTCATGCATATGAGCCGTCTTCGAACGCTGGAAACTATCAGAGACATGATTTTCTGTTCCGAGTTAATTTTGGGTCACTTTTATCAGTGAAATAATGAATTGGTCCCAGTGACGTAGTGCTTTGGACTTCAATAGCATGAGTTAATATAGTCCACAGGAGAACCAAGCTGATATTAGTGTGGGACACAAATTTGAATTGAATGACTCAACCAAATGAGTAGATAACGTGTTTAGAATAGAAATATTACGTGTGTGTGCTTGACAAAGGGCGACGATACTCGACCCATTACAGCTTCCCATGCACTGCCGTATTTCTCAAATACGCGATCTTACCATACTGCATTACAATGCTTCTAGGGTCTTTTGTTTTCTCAAATTTTTTGTACAGAACCTAAAAGGGAGGTCCTATCACGGAAAGCTTCCCACCATCATCGCCATCGTTGTGGCTGTCATTATTACCATTGATAGCAACTTTCTGCATACGTCTATGCGTGTGTATATCTGCAGCAAACGCTTGATGACGATAACCTTTGCCCGCCCACATGGTAAACGAACCGCGCTGGGAGCATGCGAATTCGGTGTGGAGTCTGCAGTATGACATGTATAGTCTGTTCACACTGAATTGGGCCCTTTCCACGAATCGTATGGGGGCGCCCGCGCGCTCCATTGTTGGCCTATTATAACATATTACAGGCACACAGATAGACCCCGACAGAGACACAGGCCGCGGAGGCAACTTTAGCTATATAACAAAGTTATGGGCGGGCACGTCTGGCACGCTTCACGTACAAAATAGGGAAACGACCGTTGTGTCTATCTGAGGTACGCAGAGAGCCAGTTAGTACAGCTAATCTACAGTAGCCACGGCTACTTCGGCTGGATCGGAAGAAATGGTCAATATCAGATACCGACCAAAGCTATATGCGATCTCAATATAGTGGCTGTCGTAATTTTTTGCTTTTTTTCTCTCAGCGAAATGATCATTGTCATGCGAAGCTATCTGCCGCTGAGATAATCTTACACCCGACAGGCAACTAACAATCCATCTAGCTGGAATAATTTGAGGAAAAGTGTCAGTGGTAACAAAGGGCTAAGTCGTCTAGGACTAGTGCTTCCAACAATGATTCGTGTTTCGCTACTTGTTTTCGGTAAGTGCTAGTTACTGTGTAAGTGAAACTGCTACGTCATCAGTGTCTTTTCACCCATCTAGTTAATTCTGAATTTAAAATATGGACATTTTCCTCTCGCATCTTCCTGACAGTTAAATGTAATACAGTCTTTTGTTTTTTTTTGAAACAACAGGATTCGGCCTGGAAGCAAACGTAAATACAAATAGACAGAGATGCTAGAGACGCGTCGTTCATATGCGTCTGAGGCCATCTTCTCAGTGTCTTCTCAGTATTTATTGAGACTGCTATTTGCCGATGTATTAAGCACAACTCAGACTGAGTGAGCTATACTCGCGGTCCGGCATAATGTTTGTGCCAGCAGGGTTTGTCTGTTTAAGATAAATGTATTTTGTTGAAACCAATCTCACTTTTGCAGAGCCTTCACTGAACCATAAGAGCTGTTCGGCTGGAGCCGTAACAGCTGGAGATTCTGTTAGGGATAATAGTAGGAATATTATGTAGCAAAGATATTCTTCGAATATAGCTTGTTCTTATATTTGTTTTCGCGTTCATTTATTGTATATGTCATTTGCGGATCTTATTTCTAAGCCATGTATGTAATTATTCTCGTTGTGTAAAATGAAATATATAGATTGTCGCTCCGAATCTGGTTGATAATGAATCTAACGCGATTGGATAAAGTGTTGAAGCCCAAATTGTATGAGGATACAATCGCGGTGCAAAAAACACAGGTGGAAACGAAGACTCTACGCGTCAATAGAATTTTCGTTCTGTGAAAGTTCTGTAGTTTACAAACGTGTACACCCCATTCGTCTTTCGTGTACGTACGCGTCGCAACGCACACTTCTTTAAAACACTGACCAGCGGGAGTCTCCTCCCGGACACGTCGCGTAAGGCGTGACCAATTGTATTTTATAAATAAACGTTTCGGGTTCTGTGTTCCGCACAGCATCAACATCGCTTGTTAAACAAACTATAACTCTCCAGAGATTTGAAAGCTAGCCTTCCGCTGTGAGGAACTATCGTCGGTGGTATTTGGAGGTGTTTTTAGATTGCCTGCGAGTTTTGTCTATTCTAAATTCAACTTGAACTTCTTCCGTGAAGTAAAGTGTATCCGTCCCGAAAATCAATTGATTTTCTCCATACGCGCAGACTCGTTCGATCAATAAGTCGGGACGCCTTTAGCAACTTGTCGCGGTTTCTTTTTAAGTTCAGTTATACCCGTAGCAACCAATTTATTGCATAGTTTGTAATCTATCTAATCCGACCTGCTTTATATATAGCCCCATATTTCCTGTAAAAATTTTAATCTCGCATTTTGTTGCTGTTCCTTATGTGGAGATGCAACGATGAAAGAAAAAGATCAAGACACGATTCCGGAATAGTAACCGTTCTAATAATGAATGTCAATTCGGTAATGTTTAGGCCCTCTAGGCCCTGGAAATTGTGAATGGACAAAATGATCATAATATTGAGTGTTCCGTACCTTTTGTTGCCAAAGTAAACCTCTCACTCTTGCTCGACCTTTAGCGTCGTAGCTCATAGTTGTTACTCATAGTGCATCTATAGCTTTGCCTCATTTGTAGCACCGTGCCTTCTAAGACGATTAGCAAAGGGTTTACTCTGAACTCGCGGCCTGTCTTTGATGTTAAGGCTCGAGTGTGTCCTAACTACTATGCGAATTTGTTCGGCTAGAGGTTTTATGCCAGAAATTGTCTATGTTGACAAATAATACAATGCAGTATCAGAAACAAATCAAACGATTCATTGTTTCGGTAATGTTGGCCGCAAACAGTAGGCCAAGATAACATTCCAGGCATGTATATGAAACGCAAACAATGGTTTCGTGGCCTCGCAGCTGTCGTGCTAACAGCTACTACTCAATGGACAGGTCGACCGTTTGTACGTTTGCGACGAATAGGTACCCGCTTTATCTGTTAAAAAGTTCTTACTACTTTATTTGACTGCTTGGAGTCAATTGAGTGTAGAAATATAAAAGAAAAAAAAAATTATTACAATGGCAAGCAATGTGTTTTGCTGAAGATTTGTTATTAAACTAGTTCGATCGTAACTCGACGCAAGTGATCCTATTACTTGTTCTATTGAACTTTTTAAGAAAAAAAAAATACCACTATTGTTAATGTACCGAAATCGGATTACACCCATTTGGGCTTTTCCTGTGTACTGGACAATGCAAATGAACGAATTATTTAATACTATAAATATAAGTCGCCATAGAAGCCAGCTCCCTCTGTTAGGAGACCCGCTATAGCGGTGACGTTTTACAATGTGATGACGGAGCATTGACCTCATACAATGACGCTTCCCTGATTGTATTTCTCGTAATAACCGCCTTTTTTTTGTTAAGCGAATGTGCTAGATGGGCTTTAGCGGGCATTATCTAACTGTAGTAGAATACGTTAAGGTGACACTTTTTTTCTTGCCCGGATGCTACGTTTGAACCTATTCAAATATTGCTTCGACTGAGGAAAAGAAGCTGTCCTTCATTCAACTCAGGCGTTGGAGACGCTCTGCTTATTGCCTGTAGGCATGTCTTGCCTGTAGGAATGTCTTCAAAACATTCGCCACCACGATCACACATACGTGTCACATGGTCATAGTAATCTACGTAACAGTTAGCTGTACATTTAATCACACTTCTTGATTTTCAGTTATCCTGACGCCCGACAACATGACGCGGAGCGGCTCTCTAAAACTATTAAATACGGTGCGCGACGTCACAAAAACAGTGTCAAATCAGCTAAAAAGCACAATCGATAAAACCGTTGACAGACTCAGCGAGGTCACTTCACAAGATCCGGACGTATCGTCTATTCTCAAAGGACCGGTGAGTGTCGGTTGATTCCTCAATTAACGAGGATTTCCACAACGAGATTTTCAAAACAGCAAAGAAAATAGGCATTACCAATATAACTTACTGTACCGAAAGCCCCTATCGTACGTTGGAAATGCCTCAGTTCTAAATTTATATGGTATTCAAAATTGATTTTGGCGGTAAAATGTTTGGTTATTAGATATCGGGACACGTAATAATCTGCGTTCGAAAACACGCGTAGAACCACCCTTCAGTTTGTGCCGGAAGGGGGCCAGCTGTGAAAAATGATAAATTGGTCGACGACAAAACCGCACGAATAACAGAAGCTCGAAACGTCTTCAATAATAAGCAAGAAACTTGCCAAGGTAGATATCGTTTCGATAACTTGATAAGTCTGCATATAGTTGCTTTCTACGTTAGCAAATACACGATAGCTAGAAAAACCGCGAAGTTTTCAACTATTGGTATGACATTCAGGTTGTTCAATGGCCTTTAGCCATACGACCTTAAGGATGAAGACCCTTAAGGATGAATAAGGATGGATATAATTTTGCTATCACATAATTTTAACGCATTTCAATACATTTTGCTAGGATATTACAGCAAAATGATCAATGTATCAGCGCAAACCCAAATCCTATTTTTCTTCTTTATTCTGCCTTGAGAAGCTATCGGTTGCACCTATGAGCTCTTTGCGAAGGAAGAGAAATGTGGCTATTTCAGTATTTGAACTTTTGCACCATTGACTGAAACTATGATTAAAACGAGCCATCGCTGGTCTACTTCTTGCACGTGACTCACATCAATAATTTATAGGAAGTGGTTCTGTATGAATGGCCAACTGATGTTCAACTTGCCAATGAGACCCAAAAGGACTATGATTTGAAAGAACATATTTTTTGGGATTGTCAATTATCCACGTATTAGCTTCGCTGACCCATGAAAAACGCAGGCCACTATATACAATCGAGTATTACAGGCTCTTGCATAATATACTGTGTACTCCCATACAATATTGTGCTAGAGGTATACAATACGGTACGGTACGGTCAACGAAGCCGATCATGGTCCGTATGCGGGTCCGTATTTTCAACATGTTCCTCGGATTGCTTTCCTATTTCAAGCTATAGTTGATAATGATGCATTTGTGCGACGCAGCAAGACCAACGCTGGACACATTGTCAGCCGAAACCGTCACGTTTTAAATCAGCAAGGCCTGTAGATGGCCAATTTCTCTTAGCCCATCTTTGTTCGTGCGGCCCTACAGGTACCCAGTATACTGAGTAGCGTGAATTGGAGTCGTCCACTTTTATTGACGTGGCAGATCGACGTGTCACCTTTTCGAGGTATATCTTGGAGTGCATGCATAACATTTCCTAAGATATTGTCCTGCCGGATTCTATAACTCTCTGGCAATATTTACGATCTTAGTTATCTGATATTTATTTGAGGTTGTTCGCCTAAATTTGCCTGTGAAGAACAGAATGTATATCTTCATTACTTCATGTTCGATCCCGGTACAGTGTGTACGCTTATCTGCCTATGTAAACGCCAATACATATATATTTAGGTCATTTGTAGGCCTTTGATCGGTTCGATGTTCAGGGCTCTTTTGCGTACCACAAATGAACGACTGTTCCATAATAACTTTGTCTGCGCAAATGAACGTATATATATATATATATAATTTGCTTCTACAGTATCTTAAGCCAATTGCTCTGGAAACAATGTCAAGCTGATGAAGCAGACTTTACAGGTTTCTGCAAAGATAAATGTTTTGAAACAACTTTTTTCCTAATTCACCGCTAGCTATTAATAGATGAAAAACTGTACTGTAAATTATACTAATAAGTAATATAAAATAAATTGTGTATCGTCTGCGAACGTAACGGAAATATATTCTCATGATTCTTAAAGGGCGAGTACGTGCGCAGCTACGGATACGACTACCATGAGTTCAACGTGACCACGAAAGATGGCGTCATCCTAAGCGTATTTCGAGTCAGAAATCCTCGCGTCTACAATAACCGTTCTATTCCAGTCATTATGCAACACGGTGTTGTATGTTCAATCGTTTTTAATAAGATCCTAATTTTTTAATAGTGTTTTCCCATAAACCCGCGTACGTGAATAGCTTCTCTCGCAATTTTACCGAAGTGAATGATCGAAGAGATTTTTAAAAGCACAAGAACAACATACGAAAATGCAATAATTAATATTACAACGAGAAGCGGCTAGGCAAAAAATGGGGCCCAGGTCTAAATGATCCTCTCGCATTATTTCAGGTAAGTTCGGGATTTGACTTCATTGCAAATCCTCCTCATCAAGGACCTGGGTTTTTCCTAGCCAATATGGGTTACGACGTCTACCTACCCAATACCCGAGGAAATAAATTCAGTTCATGCAGCGAATCAACCCATAAACACTTTTATTACTCGAGGTAAAAAAAACAGCGTTAGTTGAATACGTCCAAGCACAAATAGAGCTTCGATGAAAAATCTGAACAGCTATTAACGAGGCTGTATAACTTTATTGTCGACAAGTATCCGGACGAGAGATTCAAACAGGGGAGTTGTAGATAATGCTTCATATATACATATTACCCAACTAAAGTAACAAAATTAATAATGAAGTATGCGTCAACCCAGTCCAGCTTTACAGGCTGGTACAATCTGGGTTTTCTACTAGATCCATATATCACCCTCTTGAGCTCAACATTATATATGTTCTCTACGATCTAATCGTTCTCAAAGACAGAGCTTTCATAAAGGCGCATTGCTTCATTAGGAACCGATTCGTATTACTTCTTCCAAATAATATCCTGTTCTGTCTGTTCCTTTTCGACATCACGTTGAAAAACAGGACAGCGGGTCCTCTACAGGCTTTTCTGAATTACGTTTGTCCTGGTCGTTTCGTTTTAAAGAAGTACAACGATCCGGAATGCGTTTACTTGGCGAGAAATTCATCCTTACGACAATGATTGAATGACCACAGGTCTTTTCTGTATTCCGTACCCCTTTGAATTGCTTTCCTCTAATTGTAAAATCATTACGCTATTTCATAAAATCTTAGCGGTTTTTCTAATCGTCTAAACTCTGTCTTTAAATGTCTGCAGAGCATCTACGCGTAGGAGAAATATATAGAAGTAATTTTTGGTCAGCGTTTCGTAAAAATATGACGTACATGAAATTTACGCGCCTAAAAAGTTTCAAATGTTGAGTTTTCTACTTTTTCTCAAACCAGATAGCTACCACATTATAAACCTATTTGCGTTCGCAGAGAAAATTCAGTGTATTATGCAAAATCAGGTCAAAAGTATAATGCAGGACTCGAGGATAACACTCACCGTATCTTATCGTCGTAGCTTATTTATGCAACATAATTACTTTTATATGCGTCCTAAGCTTTATGGAGATGGCGGAATACGATTTACCAGCAATCATTGACGCTATTCTCAGCAGAACTGGATTTACAAAACTTCACATTATCGGCCACTCACGCGGAACAACTGTGACCTTTGCTATGCTTGCCTCCAAGCCGGAATACAACAAGAAGGTAAATTGACCGCCGATTTTGTGCCGGGTTCTCATTGCTTGCAACTTCGGGCGTAATGTCAGACATCCTGACAGCACTGCTTGGTAGCGAACCTGAAATAAAGCTGAGGTACATTTGGAACACGGACACTTTTATTACCAACAAAGGTTAATGCCCGCGGAATCCTACGACAACTGTTTCGTGCACAATAATCTAATCAATTATAGAGTCACAGTTGCCGAGCAATGGATTTTTAAAAGCGTATACCGGGTTAGATCCTCCGTTATTTTATCGAATTATTTTAGTTTGATTGATTTTTCTCCATAACTCGACATGTAAGCCTTTTTTAGTCCTTTACTATAGCTTTTTGCGGAAAAGGTGTTTCTGCTAACTAGGGAAAGCCTTGTTAGTTGGTGTACCTTCTAAAGATATTCACAATATAATAAGGCCAAAGAGCTATATCAAGATCTAATTGAATGTATGACATTTTACGGTAAGGCAGCTTGATTTATGAGCTATCAACGTTTCAGATTCGCCTCTTCACTGCATTAGCGCCCGTGGTCTACCCTGATTTAAGTCCAGCATGGTCCATCCTTCAAAGTATCATGCACGAACTGGTTAGTAATGCGTTCATCCAGGACGCCCTGCACGTCCTTGGCTCAGCAGCTACACAGCATAACACTGAACAGCAACGAGCCTGGACGTCAACCTCAACGACAAAGCGCATATCTCAGTCATCGGCGTTTCTATTAGAAGCAGAATTCACATTAACGAGCAGCTATCATTATCCGCTAAGCATCCACAATAATATGGAAACTTGTTTAGCTTACAATATAGTCCGAAACGTTACCATCTTGCGTTAAATCATTTTTTCTTATTATCGATGTCTGAACGCTGGTTATTTCTCCAGACACCTATCTTCTGGTGCAACGACGTATGTTTTCGGGTTGACTATAGAAACAAGTCGAGTTAGAACCGCTCGTAATTCGAATGTACGATGTCTGGCAATTCTATAATTTACTGTTAATAACAGCCATGTAGTAGTTCCATCATCTGGACCATAGTGATTTAATTACAAATTGTTCACCACCTACCTGTAAGCAACTCTTTTCCAACAAGCTGAGCATTCTATTACAAATGATTGTTATTAATGAACGCGAAAACGTGACGTCATGGTTGGGGAAAGTGTGTATCTGTAACTGCGAGAAGCCGCTAGTCGATGCTTAACTGTTTTCTACTGAAGGACTTCTACCTGCAGGCCCAGGCTTGGCGAACTGTTGTACGGCTGAGACAGATTTAAGGCTGGGCTATCCCCTATATTGCCATATTCGGTTTTGTATTGCAGAAGGGTGTCATGGACTGTATTGGCTATTCGCGCAACCGAATTTTTGACTCCTCAAAGGTAAACGATCTCAGTTTTGGCCTGATGAATCCTCTCGTTTGTTCAATCGGAGGAGGAGTGTTATGCAGCGCCATGCTCAATGTCGGCATGAATCCGAAGCTTTTGCGGAACGTTGAGCATCCCCGACTTAATAGCGTAAGTGAAGTATAATTGGCTTGCGCTTACTGTTCTTTTGTACTAAATACTTTATATTTTCGGTTTTATCTTTAATAAATAGTATAAAGCGCTACGTAATGCTTGACGCCTGCATGCCATTTGGTCCTTACAAGAGCGATAAGCGCAGTAGATTATTTCATTCTGGACACGTATCACTCTTATCCATTTCAGTCTCGAGCACGAGTATATGCAGTTAATACGCCAGCGGGCTCGACGGTGCAAGACTTTGTTCATTTCTTCCAGGTAATCCAAACTGAAAAATTTGCCAAGTTTGACTACGATGATAAGCCTGCTTGCTATCCAGTTGACAAGACAAATCAGATCGTTTACGGGCAGGTTGGTACCTTGATGAATACACTCAAATAGGGCATCGCAGAATGTTGAAACTATGCACAGTCATCTAGAATTGCTATTCAGTTGACGAAAGCCCTAAGCTAAGTCGCTGGCTTCGGACATATGTCGACATCTGCGATTGGTTATCGAAATGTTTGTCCTATTTAAAGCTGACTTTTTCATGATACATCTAATCATTTCAGTCGACCCCACCAGAGTATAAGTTAGAAAACATCAATGTGCCTCTAGTGGTGTTTCATTCAAAAGACGATACATTCGCAGGGCCCGACGGCGTAGCTAAATTACGACAAAAGGTTAGTAGCGTCTGTCGGCCTATCATGTTTTCAGATGAACAAGAGACAGACAGTTATTTTAGCTAGCTATATTAGCAAAGAGGACGATTAGGCCTTTGTGCTTGCAGCACTGATGTTATGGACTCAGAAGCGCCTTTCACTTAGCCCGTAGGGCATCCAACCACTCGATGATCATGAGTAGTATGTTACCCTTGCCCTGCGCTCCCCACGCAGGCGTATAACGAAGTACGCCACAATTTAGCGTGCTTCAAGTATTGTCAGGGGAGTTACGGAATACATTAGGCGATATCTGTGGCAGTCTAAGCAGATTCTAGCGGGCTTTCACACTTGCTATGGCTGGCACCTTTCGGCTTATCAGAAACGGTATTCTCATTCGTCTTCCACTTATGTCTGTCTGCTTCCTAAACTATGAGAGATAGATGGAGAAAAGGGGTCTCCTGGGGATGTGTCTTTGTCGGAATCAGCTCGAAGAGCCGATGGTTACCTTAGCTGCCAAAAGCTGGGCTTTGAAGGCACCTCCGCCGATTCCGATTCCGCCAGTACACAGGCAAGCATTTGGGATACGCTCACGGCTGATAGTCTGACTGCTGCGCGATCAGTGGAATTACTTTGCATGATTCGTTATAGTTCTAACTCAAAATAGCACAATTATAGGGATTTAAAGTATTTCATTGAGGATAAGAAAGTTTCCATTCAACCTCTGTTCTTGTTATTATTATAAAATCCAGATTATAATATTAAATATAAATTATAAAATCCAACCTATTATTATAAAATCCAGATCGAACGCTGCAAAAGATATGCAACAACGACACAGTTATACCATATCTATATTCCTTTAATACTGCGTTAAAATGCCATATTAGTTGGTATTATCCTGCAATAGGTGTAACAACGACCCGTTGCGCGTTCGTAGCCGGACGTACATCTGGATGGTGGCGTGCTTTCAAGCAGTCACTACAGAGGGACACCAGATGCTTGTCATAGGAGACACCTTTTGAAATCTAAAACTGTATATACAATAGCCTGTATATACAAGCTGTTCGTGTACATCTCTCGCCCCCCAATAGCTAGTCACCGCTCTACTGAAATAAAAAGCCAAGTACTTGAACCTTGTTACATGTCACGACGAACCGCGTCCAGCGAGGGAGGATGACGAGAAGTTCGCGTTTCTAAAACCCATTTGTTTCCCAGTGTCAATATTTCAATATGACACCAATTTCCATTAAACTTTGTATTATGCTACCCTATGTTGACATAGCTATTTATGTACCAAGTAAATATAGGTGACAGTTCGCTAGAAATACTTAAAGCGGCGCTTTCGACGAACACATTATATACAGTCGATATCCAACCCCGAAATATACCTCTTTTTCGAAATTAACTCAAGTTCATTGTTACCTATCCTAATTTCGAATAACCGACGGTTGCAGAATCAGAGTAGTATAAACACAATATTAGGTTGCTAATAATAATAATAAAAATAATGTGAGCAGGTCGGGAAGCTGGTGGTCAACGGAGGATGGTATTATATTGAAAAATCAAAATGGCTTCACCTCGATTACCTTTGGGCCATGGACGCGGTACAGCTCGTCTATCTAAATGTTTTGCGTCATTTGCGAGAAAGTGACAAACTCGAGGATGGCCATGTTCGCGATCTTGACGAGCTTTTTGCGCTTTACCAAACGGACACGAAAAACTATATTAGTCTTATTTAGATTGTATTTATTATTGAGCTAATGTTCACACGAGTGGTAAGGTGGCATCCCTTATAGGACGATGATCGCAATTGGTAACCTAAAATGGTGTTTGTCGATTGATGTAATTCTTCTCTCTCTATACTGCAATATCTAGCCTCTCCTAGAAAAACTATTTAACGTTTGACAAAAACCACCCAAAAAGAAACGATAGATTCTTATGAGAAATGCTGAATACCTTGTTGACTTTTAGTTTAATTATGTCTATTGTATTACTATATTTTTATGCTATTTGCTTGCATTCACTATTAAATCCTAATTAGCAACGGTAAATAAACCTTCTACGTACAGGAAATGTTATATTTTTCCCTTTTTTTTTTTTCTTCAAATGGATCTTCGTGGATAATTTGTATGTACACGTGCATCAAACGATAAAGCTAATAGTTAACACACGTGATAGTACTCGTACTGTACTTGTCTTTATATATAACATAAAATCATTGATTGACTTATTATCCGACAAAAAAATGAATTCAAAGTCCAAGGTGGCATACTTCTTTCTAGTTTTCTATAATGAGCAACGAACGATAACGCGAAAAATCAGCGAATCGATGACAGCCTTAGATATTGTCCGTAGAGGAATGCAAGCCAGACCATACGTTACCTGTAAATAATACACTTTTCACTGGGTTTGACAACATCTTAGTTTTACTGGAAGAGAAAGCGTGAGTGTACCGTTATCTTTTTCGGTGCTGACCTCATAGACAAATATATATGTTTGTATGCGCGCAATAAACGGAACCGCATCGAAATTCGTTGGTCACAGTGTCAATCGGCTGGTAATAAAGGTAATATTGTGATGGCTTTGTCCTTTAAATAGCGAGTAAATAACGGTTTTCATATAACTGACTGAGATAGCGTACTCCAGCTACAACCTGAATGTTACAAAATGAAGTGGTCAGTGACTTTCTCCGTGTACTTACGAGTCCAGGAACAATGAGCAGGGTCAAATTGCCTGCCTCCTCCGCATGTGACATCTCACTATATAAAGTCATCGCTGGGGATTTCCATTGAGGTACATAACCAATTGTAGAACTCCAAAGGATTGTTTCTACATTATAACGAATAGACAGCATAACTGGTTGAAGCGTAAAATCTGGATTCGATGATATTCCTTCCAGCTGTTTCCACCATTCGTTAGAGCGCCAATCAAGTCTATGCACAATATATAGACAAGGTGCGACGTTCAATTTCGAAACTTTGATGTGCTGTTTGTTGTAGTCAGCATGCGTTCATGCGCTATTCTTAGTACCTGAAGAAAGGTAGTTCTTTCTAGAGTAAAACGCCAATCCGTTATAACGAAACGTTAAGACGATACGTCGGTTTTGGAACTTCACTAATAGTTAGCTAATATACAATACGTCTATAGACGAAGAGCTCCTACCAAAATGGTACACTTAATTTTAATAAACAAGACCGACGGTCTACATCAGGGCTAGTTGTTATACAATTTCTCAAAAATCCAAGAAGTACTTAAACGGAGTTTAGATTTAAAGGACCCCTAAATTAATTAGAACGGCTCGAAGGACTATTTTTAATATACCTTAGTTATTACATAAAATACATTAAAAATGTCAATTAGATAGTCCATATCAATCAATACGAAACAATCCTGATCTTAAATGCCCCACCTTCTGTGGCGTAGTTTGGGAGATCACAGTTTCTTGTGCATATCTTCTATATGCTCGGAAAGTTTCGCTGACTGAAGCTTCAATAGAACAGTCTAAATATATATATATGTGTAAACTTAATTGGAAATGATTTATGCAAATGTATACGAATTCATTCATCAACACTGAGAACATAAGGGATAGAGGGTAACCACTACATCTACTAACTCTTATAGACGGAAACAAGGTTTGTCACCAAGTTTTGACTAGGAGATACCTTTTTTTTGTCAAATATGATTTAAGTCATCAATAGGACAGGTAATATTAACATAGCAATTTACCGGATTTGATTAGAAACAGTTCGGTGCTGCGCAAATATAGATATTGTGAAAATAGTCCTTTTCATTATTTAGTGCAGGAAGTGTTTCTAATAAGATTATATATATTTGTTCGTTTGTCATAACTGGTATTTAGGTAATCAGGTAACCGGCCAATAATAGACGTTAGTGGAAAAAGCAAACATATTGCATCTTCACCGCCTGTTACATGTAAGGCATGGCAAACAACGATGATTCCAAACAACGCTGTAGGCCATAACTATAATTACTTAGACAGCACATCGATACAATGACTTGGTGTGCAGGTTCAATTTATTGCTTACGAGGGTAAAGTGTACAACGCACGATATAGAAAAAAGCCGCTCATCGTTAGACCTCTCATGCATGTACGGTTCCGACTTGAGGCCGTCCGGACCCATTCTTTTCGCTACACGGAACACAGGACACATTTATTCAGCTTTATTTTCTTATTTCAAAGTTAAAATAATTAGTAAAGTTAATTGATTCACCTAATCGACCCTTTTCTGTAGAACTCGATATTAGAACGAGCTTCCAATGACTGGACAACAACGATATTGAGTAGACGCACAATGCAAGGAACGTTCCAAGCTATTTGAAACTGTTCTCTCATCACTTGGACTTTCGGTTCGAGGCCCTTTAGAGCCTTTTTTTTTTTTAATATTCAAAACTTTTTACATATATCTTAATTATATCTGAGTTTTTATTTTAGATTGAAAGCGATAATAACAATATTCAGTACAGATAGATTAATTTACTTAAGTGTAATAATACGACCGCTTAGGTAATTTTCATTGAATGACATTATACGTCATCAAATTGGTATCGAAGTGACAGATAGACAAAGTGCCACGCCACAGGCTTAGTTAGGTAATCGACTTCTTCGACTGACTTCATACCTGTACTTAAATTGCACTTCCCAGGAACTACATTAACTTTTATTTTTTACAACACCAATAGATATTTTTTCGGTAAGGTCTTTCTCATCGATACGATGTACGCAGTACGATTTACCTACAAAAGTCTGTAGGTCGTATGTTAACTGTCCTAGGCAGTAAAATCATCTTTTACTCCATTTTACTCTTCGTTGCAAGTCTTTTTTCGCTTAGGCTCTCTATTTTTTTATCAGTCGAAATCATTTTTCCATTCTTTTATATGCTATTATAATAATAATAATAATTACTATTATTGGTGGCGTCGTCTCGTGGACTAAAATTTTGTCTATTGGAATCAGCTTTCAAGCTACGGGGGTTGTAATAGACATTTGCGGTGAAACATTATCTTCGAGTGTAAAAAAACATAAAAACACCTTACTACATAAGATTATAACGCGTAATGTGTACATCATGGAAATTTGAAATTCAGCATGTAGCTTTGTTTCGCCACTCTATGTAGTTGAGGTATTGTAAAGTGGAGACGAACCTCATCAACCTCATCGGTGTTCTGTGAATGCCACCTGGTATCGGCTGCACAAACCCAGGCTTTTACAGACGAGAACAAGGCCGCCGTCAGGCGGACAATCTTCTGGGTCGCAGTTCATCAACGGAAAAAATACACGGAGCCAGATACCGTTCGATGATGATGGGTGGAAGGCAAAATCGGAGAGAGCAATGGTAAGGGAGGAAGAGAGATTCCGAGATAAAGTAGAGGCAGTAGTAGCAGCAACAACAACAACGGCAAACCGACAACGATGAAGAAGCGAAAGAGCCGCGAAAAGATCTAACTGCTCTAACTTTTCTATTATTGCCCGATGATGCTTCTGTGGTGTCGGACAGCGATGCAGTGTTTCAGTATTTATTTTTCTGTTTCATATTAGTACGTCTTTACTACCAGGCAACGCGACGAACAACCGTTCGTCCCATTTGAACGGGCTTTGTTTCGTCCCGTTGCTGTCTCCCTGACTGAGGCAGAGGCCGGCGACTGCTGGACCTGACACAGCCTTTGTAGCCGTTGGCCGCCCGCGCGGCGGATACCTCGCGCGTTCATTGGGCGAGATAAATTTCGTAGCGATGCTGCTGCTGCTGCTGCTGCTGCTGCTGCTGTTGCTGCTGTTTGCACCCCGAAAGGGCGACAACCGCTTACTGTTTGACCGACAGAATGCTAGAGAGGTAGGCAGAGGGATGCCCACTGATGCTGCGTAACCGGCTGCTGGATCGTAGCGAGGTAGAACGAGACACAGACACGTCAGCAGTAAGCAGATCGCGTCGGACCTTTCCGGTGGCCTTGTTGACGGGCCAACGGCCAAACAAGCTGGTTGTAACCATTGTAGTAGTGCTTAAGACTTGTGAGGGGAGCACCAGCGATAACAGCAAAGCGATAGTGACCAGGTAAAACTTATCGGTTGTGAATGTTACCTATTTGTGCTGGCGGTGCTGTGGTAGCCGTTGAACTGAACGACCAGTCATTGTTGTGGGACTCCGATTAGCATCATCAGTCTCCGTACAAATATCGAGTTGTCCAATTCAAAAGGTGAACAGTCGTTTGTTACTGCCAGAGGATAAGGGTATGTTTTACGTCGCGCTATAAAATTCGCGTAAGCGGTGCCCATTGAAAATGGAGCCAGTGATTAAGAAGGTGACAGTTTGTCGGAGATATGGATAACGGGAAACTCTCATATAGTTCTCTGTTGTATGTTCTTGCTGGACTGAATTTAGTTAGAGGTGATTTTGGCCGTCTAAAGTTTTACGAACTTAACAACACAGCGTGTATTTTCCTCGAATCACGAAACTAGAATGAAAGGGTGTGTTTGGTGGAAAAATACGAAATGAATGAGTTACTAGCAATATAATCCGATGAGATTATTGAACCGGGAACAAACACAGGTATCCTAGGCCTCTAGACGACCTTTGCAACGGATGACATTTTATATCTACTACCAATGTAGAATCTATGTATACGATCATAGCAACACTTATACTGAAGTTACGCATGACTGAAAATATTCGTTAACTTGCATTAACGATACAGACTATCAATATTGCTCAACGTCTGCAATACACCGTCATATAATTTTCAATCTTCACATAACCTATAGGAACAGGTCACCGTAATAGAATTTGGAATTATATTCACAAAAAGAGTTACAGAAGCGCTAAAAAAGGCATTCAAGTGATACTATCTAAAGGCGTCACTGTTCATGACCGAGCCAGATGAATGAAGTAGACAGCGTAAGGACGTGTCAAACCTGTGCTCATTTCACTATAAATAAAACAGTAGACTAATTGGGTCAATCCATCCTTGAAGAACATGTTCAGTCTGTTTACGTAAAAGTGAAGTCAGTCTGGTTACGTAAGAGCGAAGAAAATCATCCAACATCCATAAGCGTTTTGTATATTTAGACACGTCCGACCGTCAAGATGTCGAATCGATATATGTATATATATATATATATATATCATGGTGTTCCAACAGGAGCAAGAAGTTTGAGTAAAATATAGTTGTCTGCTTCAATTCAAACTGAATTTAGAAAAGTTTACTACTAACTTTTACTATGCACACAGATAGAATATTCAGATGATTCTAAAGTGTTGATTTCATATTAAAGTGTAAAATAACACATATGTTTTCTCAGCTTTACTGATATATTTGCACTCTTTTTTTAATGAAATTTTTATTCGGTATAACTATGGCTGGGCTTTGGTGATATAGCGTCTAGTCTTCAAGGCTTAGGTTCTCATAAGATGCTTAAGGTAAACCTTTAACTGTAAAAAAAAAAAAAAAAAAAAAGTTAAAAACAACAGTCCAAAAATATTTCATTGTCCGATCAATTCTGGTCGCCTAAAAGGGAGATTAAACGATCAGAGGACACCTCGCGCAATAATGTCATTGTTCCAGGTGATGCACGGCAAGAACTGAGTGTGCATACACCTTCGACAGCGTCTTAAAAAAAAGTTCTCTCAATTTTTTCATTTACGAGATTGATCTCATCATCATCGCGGGTGATTTTGTCGCAGAGCTCATCTGTTCATTCTCTGGTTGTTCTTAAATTAGTCAACTAATAAAATCTTTTTGCTGCAAATAGAATTTGTAAGCTTGAGTTACTGAGCCAGCTCTATTTTGGTGAGCATAAAAGCGCAAATCTTTCGTCTTTTGCCTTTGACTACGACGCAGACCAAACGTTCCCTTGTAACCAAGGTAACAACTTTATTAATAGCCGTAACGTTCTGGGCAGATGCTCTTCTGCAGGTCGTTTTGCCTACCAAAAAGACTGGATGCGGCTTGCGAATTCTATTATTAACAACAAAAAATGCCTAGCTATGTTGTATAGTTACCCATTTTTAATAATAAACATCTGGCTGAAACTTTCCAACTGATCGATACGATACGATGACTTTGCTGTCAAAGCACAGCAGCAGGATTGGCGCTAAACGTTTATGTTCCCTTGTTGTTGACTCGTCTTTTTCAGTTATTCTAAAGCAAAAATGGGCTTTCAAGTTGACCTCAAGTTACGCCCCATGCAATGGAACGTATGAGACAGATCATGATTAGCGCTGAGGTCAGATTTGCCGATAAAAGTTTACTGTGCACGTTTTATTTGATCATAACGGATAATACGTTGTCTTTCATCGTTTCTGAAAGATTTCGTAACGTTTACTTTTTACTAGCCTATCCAGGCACATAGTTGTGCGAGACCGTTCTCACTACCTCGAGACACCCACTTCACCCTTATGTGCATATATATACATATAATACTGGATATAATTAATAATCGAGTAATCACTGTTTACTTACCACACACTCACACCCAGTTTATTCAGTTGGGCTATCGGCTTTGCTAGAGGAAAACATAACCATCTACTAGATACTATAACATCGCTTGAAAATGTTTTTTGTATTCGTCAGATCCCGAACCCTCTTCCGCGAAGTACAAAATAACTATTGTAAGGTTTTTACACACATCAATTGAGCTACCGATATGACGGGAGTTTTATCAAGCAGATTAAGCACAATCAACTTCTCTCTGACATCAACGGTACTCGTTACCGGCAGGGAACAGCTGCAAATATCAACATACATCATGCGTTTTTACGATGACTATACGTTTTTAATGTTTTGGATTTTTTTTTTTTAAATTGTGGTTCTACGTCGTATTGTCTCTCGATAGTAAGAGAAAATTCGAGACAACATTGGCTGAGTTTTGCTGCGCGTTTTTTTGCACGGCGGCACCAGGGTTGCAAGCATTTAACAAAATGAATTTGCAAATTTGGTCTACTGTTTACGATATCGCTCTTGTTAAGTGATATTTTCGCACTCTTTTCCATTCTGTGATCAATTCGACCGGGTTTTTGGAGCTAGCTAACTAACGACATATCGAGCTCCTCCGCCTACATTTGCTATATACGTGTATACAGACTGGATTTCTTTTTCGAGTTTTATTTAAAAGGAACGATGATTTTTTGCTAATTATGTGTTTTCTCGCAGCGTAGTGTGCCTAAAGCTATATTCGGTTGCATAACGGCCTGTCCTAAATTTTGTGGCGTTGCAGAAGGCGGGCCTATTCGAAAGCGCGGCAACGGTTTTAGGGTGACACCACCCGGCTGCGTGTAAGAAAAGGCGGCCTTCCCCTAGTCGTTGGCAATGGCCAGCTCTTCCCTTCTTCAATCGACACCAGCGGCAGATCGCCTTAGTGACCCCGTTGTTCACGTGCATCTTGTATGTGGGTGAGCAGATTGGGTCAATACGAGCGATAGTTTCTACTAGTTCAGCCGGTGATTATGTGATGTTGTATCTGGATAAACAGGCAATCGTTGGCTACAATGGATTCATAGAAAACCCACACCTGCTCAAACATCCATGAGCTTGGTGATGGTATGTCCAGTAAAGGGCACCTAAAAACATATTAGAGTCAGTTTCAACATTAAGTGTATCGTAATAGCTCAGCGTGAACGTATTAATACAATTATCTTTTTAAGAAATAGGTTCCAATCCGCCTTGCTCACTAGGCATCATAGGACATTTTATTGGGCCGGTGTGATGAATCAGGTCTCGTAGGCCGCTCTCGTCGCTAACGATTGGGAATTGGCCCCCTGAGAATGATGCTTGGAAGGAATCACGAAGTATTTATCGGCGTACGTGTACAAGAATACATTTGGTTAGTTTAATGTTAACTTAGTCATTGGTGCCCAAGTAAGATTAAGCTGCGTTCATGATAGCTACACTCACTGTTAATGTTGAATTGTTTTTGCTGTTTTATTCATTTCAATACATGAAAGTAACAGGGAATAAGGCTCATTTTTCGTCGACATCGTTCCCAATTGAGTAGCTTAAGTTTGTCGATTTAATAACTTGTTCCATGTATAGTACGATCATGTATTTCACTTTAGGACTAATGGCGTTAGTCCGTCTTCTTCGCACAAATAAGTGGACGAACGTGTTTTCATCCCTGGACCGTAACACTGATCAGTATATCTCTCATTGACTCTCAGTTTGATTACAGTATGTCCGTATGTTAGTCTATTTATAAAGGTTCATTTAGTTCCTCCTTATGTCGATAGAAAGCCCATACACGAACATACTAGGTATCAACGTTCGTTCCGCACTCGAATCATCGTGGGTTAAAAAATTTTAGATGTTGCTTAGCTTGACAGCCTCCATTCATAGAATTCTCTCTCAAAATTATAGCTCTCTTAGGAAAGTTCCATCAGATATGCTCATTAAGATACGATAAATAAAAAATTAGTCCACTATTATTTTCCGCGCAGCGCAAGAGTCCTTTACAGAGACACTTCTAAACTTTTTTTCTAAATACCTAAAAAGAGTTCTAAATCTCTTTCGATTGTTCAAATATATATAGACAGTACAATAGAAACTTAGTTCTGGAGTTCCTTTAGGGATTAAGGTCGAGGATTTAAGGAAGAATGATCTGGCATTCTTGAAAACAGCTGGTCACAATGTGTCAGGTAGGTCGATCTAATTGGCCTGAGGCCGAGACGCCAAAGAAAGTCGCCGCCGAACAAAAAAACATCCCGAAATCTAAGCTCCAGTTGATTGGAGCCGCAGAAATAAAATGTCAAAAGGAAACAAAATAGTCGACCGTCAAGGAAGAAGTGCCGTTCGTTTATAGAGGGTCAATACGTATGACTGCTTATAGCATTCTGCTCTGAATAGATTTTGTGGCTTTTATTTATTTACGTGACAATCTTTCGCTCCTTATTCTAGAATATTGTGTCCTGCCTGATCCTCGACCTCACGACTTCCGTCTTCAGACTCCCTTTGGATTTTTATGCTACTACAAGAAAGGTCAGAGGATGTGCACGTTCAGTTCCGCGGCTTCGCAACCTACTCTTTTCTGGTAATTTTCTCAAAGATAACAATCCTCTGTGTCAGAAGCGATTCCGTTTGTAAAAACACTTTCCTCGTACTTGGACAACGCGATGCCCCAAAGCGCAAGTTAGTTAAGGTCGCGTTCCGTAACTTTCGGCCAGGTTAAGCTATATTAAACTATGTAGTGATAATAATTCCGCTATGATTACAGGCGTAACGGTATCAAATCAGCTTGACTACTACCATCGCGGTTGGCTCGTGGACCGAGTTTTCCGATGAGTACGCGGCAGGTTGCGATGTGTTCCGTACAGCTACTCTATGCCCTGTTGGCTTCGGTGACTTTTGCGGAGCGTGAACCGCCCTTGCGCGCGATTGTCTGGGGCCCAGGGTTACGAGGCGACTTTACCTTGCCCGTCAGATATATATTTATTAAAATCCAAAACAAGAATGGCAACAGGTAATAATTTGTTTTTAAATTAGTATGTACCATTCTAGAAGTGCCTCATCTATCATGATTGGGAATTCACCTAGATGTAAATGTACATGGGCAATAAAAAAAGCACCACATGCTCTCCTGAGCACCACAAATGTTTTGGTGCAACAGGAGGTTTTCTCGTACCAAAGTTAAGACGGCGGTTATGGTTTCTCGCAGCTACTCCCCATTCAGTTAGCGAGCATGTACGAAACGTTCATTTCAGTTTGCCTGAGGTTTCACCGTCTGACCTATTCGTTGAGTTCCGTGACGCATCGTCAGGTTCAATAAAACAGTTCCAAGCCGATTTGCTTCGAACAGCGGAAGGAAACACCAGCTTTCTCTATCGCTACCGCCCTCACAACTCGTACCCGGGCAATATTGTATTCAACGTTTTCTACAAACGACAACGTCTAGCCAGCGAAACCATCAACGGTATTTACACATTGGCCCACCTATAAAAATATTAATATGACTTGTAGATAACTGTTTGTAAATAGTTCGATTCTCTAGCTAAGAAGTATTCATGTAGACAGGATACGTACCTATCAGTGCCGTCACAGCAAAAGTACTAATGCTGAAAGAGTCCTTTGCGCTTGTACTAGAATTTTTTTTACAAGTTAATTTAGCAGTTTAATGCTAATGAGAAACACTATTGCCGAACGAAATGTATCAGTGTACGTCCCTTGAATATCTCACTTAAGCCAATGTGTTGTTTGTTCAATTATTTTTGGCTATGCCTAGGTAACGGGTTGAAGGTTACCGGTTTATGAAGGCGAATATTGATATTATTAAGACCCACTTGTGTCTCACTAATATCGACTAACAGCTTTCATATAGTTTACCTGATGGCTTTGCATTGAAAAATGCAAAACATAGCTATATAATGTAAGCAAAACATTTAACAATTTACATTACAAACTAAATTGATCCACTGATTGCTCGTTACGTTTGAGAACATTTTGTTGTCTCCCGCGGGTATGAAATGGTATGTTGTGGAGTAAAGTGCAGTACTTAGTTTCTCGCCCGCAAATGTAGGATAGTAGAAGGTTGTTTGACGATGCACAACTATCGGTTGAATGAAATTTATAAACCTTTGTTAAGTAGACCACAAAGATGACTGCGTGACAATATATCGTAAAAACATGCTCTTGTAACTGTGTGCGTACGAATAGCATACAAAACAAGGGGAGGACACAGGTCCATTGCACGCGCTAAAGCCAACGAGTGGCCAAAGGTTTTCGTGGCCAAAGGGGCCCGATGACGGTCAGGGAAAAATCTGCGAGATCGGTGTAAAATGCTACTGCTGTTAATAGATAATACTGACAGCTAGCTAGATTATTTATGCGGCTCACTGAATCCAACAAAACAGTGATAGTGAACTTAACAATCCACATGGAGTTTCACTTGTGATTAACCTTCTGAACATCTATAGAAAACCTATAGAAATTCTGTCCGGTCAAAGCGGTGTGTTGATACTCTGAGTGCTACGAGTTGGCAGGCCAACTGACGGCACAGCTCCAGGTTGTCTGGCCGCCATTCCTAAGAACTTGCTAACAGTAATCCTAGAAACGTATCCGCGCCCTCGGGGCACCAACTAGGCGCCATGCCTGGCCGCAAGTGTTCGATGACTTAAAGCGCCTAAACACAATGAAAATAAAATCTTGAAATCTGTATGCGTTGTGAAACCTAGATTTGAAGTATTGCCTGTACATAGAACAATTCCACAGCTGCCGTGAAAGTGAAGCGTCGGCTGAATTGGGCATCAGGTGACGCTGTTTCGTCTGTTCAGTATCGGTTGTTATAATGGTTACCGATCAGCTAATAGCAGTGCTGAACCACGTCACCTGCCTTGTAAGTTGTGTGATCTTATACTAGAAGGGACTAGATTAAATAAAGGGTTTCGTTCATTTAATAACGTTGTATAAATAGATAAATGCTGATTCTGAGGAAGACCAGCAGTTGAATAGGGATATCCAAAGGGGTATGAAGGGCATCAAACCCAAATAACACAACGCTCGTTATGGGTGACAAGGTGCTCGGACCGCCGAATAAAGGGAACAAGTAGGCTGACCAAACAGTTCTACATGTCAGCTATGCACGAAACCAAATAGCCAGTGTAGTCAAATTCGCGGCCCTTTCAAGAAACTAAAGGCGGGATTGCTCGATGTCAGTAAAAACGATACTGAAGTTCCAGAAAATCAATGAAGCACCGGTCTGTTGCAACCATAAAATAGAATAGCGACATAATTAAGATACTGCGCGTTAGTGAATAGCGGCTGTTTCACTTCACAGAAGACACCCGCTTTGTCTCTATACAGATCTACCTCTGGAGAAGGCAAAGCGGAACAACGCAAGCGTCGTAGAATGGCACACATCCAAAACGATCATGGACAGCTCGTCCAACCGCTCGTACACACAAAGGATCAATCACAACCTCGTCGGCTACAATTACAACACGGATTGCAATGAAGCTTAGAACAAAAGAAACAACAAGAGGCGCAGGGCTTCGGAGAATTGTTTGCCATCCAACGCTGTTATGGACAACCATTTCAGCTGTTTGCCAGTGTCTGGGCAGAGCCACACAAAGAAGGCGAAGGAAACTAGGTATACAATTTAGGCATTAAAACTGAAGCTGACACCATAGAATTGTTAATAGATCATTCCTTTATTACTACCACCCAGCTCTGCCCAATTCTATGCAGCCATCAGCCCGGCACTCGTATCTATGTTACTAGCTGTGCCAGCAAGAGTATCGTCGTATTCTACAATCAGCGCCTTCCTGGGTACAATATAACTTGTCCTGAATGAAGCCACTGTCCATTCATCGGGAGACAGATAGAGAGAGAGAGAGAGAGGTGATCTAGACATACGTAGAGAGAGAGAATCAATGTTACTACAGGTGACCTTCGTCCGTCCGGAACGGGAGGCATTAGCGAAGTAGTAGCGAAAACTGTTCGGCTGCTGTTTAACCAGAGTAGACAAAAAAGGCAACATTTGTCACCGGTGATTTCACCGGCAGAATCGATCGGTCGAAACAACTGCGTTTTAGGAAGCGCTATAGTACTTTGCTATGCGAAGCGTAACGGGCCCAGCATTCGTAGGACCCGTAGGAGTTTCAACGATAGACTTATTTGCCACAAACGTTACCAAGGAGCAGCATGTTCGGTAACAACTTAGTCAAAATGCCTTATTAACCTGGCGTGCATATGACGTTCAATATACAGAGCGACCAGTACCTGATTAACAAAGGTCTTAGATGTTAAACATCAACGAGACATTACTAGCACTGTTTTACTATGTAGTACCATCGACCAGCTGCATAACCTTCAAACGATCCCAACTTGCTAGGCTGTAGTAAAATTCGGAGTGCTCAAAACGCATATCAATGCAACCTACTAAGAAAACTAACATCCAACCATTGGTTACTGGAATCAATTGATTCTATAAAAATCTTGTGCGAAAAACGTGAGACGAATGTCTCGGAAGACGCTTCGCGCGCCCTCTGTGCACAGCTTGGGTACACCGGCGATGCTAGACTATCGTGAAGCGTTGCAAAACGAACGGTACTACTTTCGTACTCGTAAATCGGCAATAGCGCGCGCGAGATTTCGATTTTTGGATGAGAGGGAAACAATGCTAAACCGTTCTAATCAACTTTTTTTGCCTTAATTTCTGTGGACTTATTCTAAGGTCCATGTTATCGAAAGTTACTCTAAACTGTCGATTCCAGTTCATCTTACACACATCTCATTGGTTTATTAAGAAAGTTATTTAAACCTTTCGGACTGCTAAATAACTCCAGACAATGATACGTGTTACCATTATAATACAGTTAGCTATATTGAATAGCTACAAGCATCTTTTTTAATATCTCTTTGTGAAATCTTGGTTGAAACATGTGAAGTTTGCATAGATAATATTCTTCGGATGCACGCTATTATCGTTTTAGACAGTTGTATTATATTTGGTACGGCACAAGTTATAATTTTAATATTTATATAATTGTATACAAATTATTATAATTATATAATACGAGAAGCTTACACCTACGTTATTATTATCACGATCTTAATAGCCGAAAGCAGAAGAATTCAGGATTTGTAACGCCAACGCCAATAGCCATATTATCAATTGAGGGCATGTGACGAAAACACAATCAAAAATAAAAACGACGATTTCAGAAGTTACATTGCATAAGCTGCGTTAGATGCCAGACTGCTTAACAACGGGTACCTGATTATTGGAAAGATTTCCGATTTTACGAAGTTACTTTGAACAATAAGTTATTGTAGTCTTGATTGCATTATGGAACGTTACCTGTACTGAGGCCTACTTCTGTTAGGGACCAATCGTCTACAGAAAAACTATCATCATTCCAAATCATCTATCCATAAACCATTCTTTTCCCGTAGCTTCATCATTTCTCACGTTTCGCCTCGTTGGTTTTTCATTGGCCTGCATTAAGCTTTCGGCATTTAATATTTCAATGTTTGGAGTTTGGCTATCAGTAAAACGGTATCCATGTAAGTACCGTCGCTATAGAAATAAACACCATTTTCGAATGGCCCATTTTATGGACCTGACCAGTCCATTTCGTTGCCTTCTATGTGCTTCATAAGCGTAAGGTAGGGCAACAACAAAATTTGCCTTTCTGATATAGTATTTCTCTTCATGTTGGCAGTAAACACCATCGACAAGGCTGTATACGTATAACATGGGATTAATATATTTGCCTCCGTTATCTTTCCAAACCCCAACCAGCAGCGCGGGGGTAGTTAGCTTGCTCTGAAAGCATCGACGATAACAAGTAAGAATATAGCAGTAATGCTGAACATAATCACTGCGGCTAGCTCTAAGCGTGAAGAAGCTACATGAATGGGGCGGGGGGACTAAATGAGAAATAACACCAATATGTTTTCTATGCATTTTAAATTTTCAAATGGGCTAAAAAATCAGATCCAGCTTCATCGACTTACCAGAAGCGCTTCTACTGCGTGCATTGTGTTAAAGAACCCCGTCATACGCTTCTCAATTCTCCTGTAAGTCAAGGATGTATCTGCATAGTTCATGCAGGTATTTGAAGGAAATACGTTGCACGTAGGGATTATAGATGATGTAAACGGCGACAACATGCTGTCAATACAATCTAGACTATTTTGTTTGAAATTTTATACCTAGAAATAATATGATTTTGTAAGACAATTACGCGCCGGTACTAAATTAGTTATCTCTTAGTTTCCTATAACATAGAATTGCGTGCCTCTGATCTATATGACTGTTAGCAAGTTCCACTTAAAACTATCCTGTACACCGCTTGAATCATCATTTAACATTCCTCAAAACAAGTGACAAAATGCATTTATTTTGCAGAAGTATATTTCGAGGATAACCATTTTAAGACTGAAAACCAACGGTTGTCGTATCGGTACTTAAAAAAAATACGTATCCTTTTTTTTCATTCAAGTAAGTATTCCTTACTACGGAAAAATCTTGTTCTTTCTTAAATTGTAGGGCCTATCTACTCTGAAGAATGCGATTGTCCATCAGGAACTCAGAGGTGGTTAATGGACCAGGCCCGTTGCCCGCCAATAAGCCCCCAGATTCTCACAGACCTCAAACCGTTCCCCATAATTCGGCCGGAATACAATCGTAAGGTAGAGTTTATACTGGAAAATCTCGACATCTTTATTGTCTTAACATAAAAAGGAAAGGATTCATTGTCCTTGTAAACGGCCTACTGGTATCTCTTCACTAAAATTACAAACACAGACGTATTTTATTTATGACACCAGCATTACAATCGTTCATGCCTTGGTCTTTTGGGAGTGACTCGTCAGGTTCGTGTTGCGATCTGCACTGACCAACAGGTAATGCAAACCTTTTACGACCTGCCCTATTCTGTGTCCGTCTGCAACTATATCATTAAGCAAAATCGCATTTACCGAAAATGTATGGGCGAGTACGTGGGATTCACCATGTTCGTAGACGCCATCCTCACTAGCCTCGTCCGAAAGGTCTGTCCCTTTGAGAGCGTTTGTAGAAAATATAAACGCTAATATATATATATATATATATATATATATATATATGCAGTACAATTTCCAAGTAAAAGTATTTTTTTGCATATGAATTCTCCTAGCAATGGACCTTGATGTACGCCAGGTACTATTACGTACGCCAACAAAAGAGCAGCCCACAGCTAAAAGGATATCCATGAAGTTCGCATGACGCCAACATGACACGTTTCGGAAAGTGATCAGGGAATAGATTATTGTCATTTGCTGCCCGCAGGTAAAACTGCCTGATGTAGACTTCATAGTGAATCTCGGAGATTATCCACTCGCAAAACAGGACGAACAGCGATATTCGCCTCAAATTCCGATCCTCTCTTGGTGCGGCTCTGAAGATACTCGTGACGTAGTAATGCCAACTTATGAATTGGTCGAGGCTTCGGTCCACATGATGCGTCGCGTGGCCCTCGATATATTTTCTGTACAGGTTAGTGACCTGTAAGTGCAAATTAAACACATCGCGTCAGTTCGCATAAGTCGCTGGCTCGCGAATCAATAGATTCGCTGAGCCAGCGACTTACCATTGTGCTCGTTTTAACGTTAAACTCCAAACGTAATTGGCTAAATGTTTATATATATATATATATATCGTAAGTTATACAACTTCAGAAGCTGATTCACGGAAATTTGATGGGAGCAACGAAAAATTGCGTATTTGTCTTTTAAGACATATAAATCGTCTATGACGTTGACGTACAGGATCGAACAAGTCATCCGTTTGAGAGTCGTTTGCCGAGTGCGTTTTGGCGGGGTCGGGATTCTCGCGAAGAAAGACTGCAACTAGTAAAACTATCTCAAAACGAGCCTCATTTGCTCAATGCGTCGATAACAAATTTCTTTTTCTTCCGCGACCAAATGAGCAAATTCGGGGGCAAAACTCCCCACGTGAGTTTCTTCAATTTCTTTCAGGTAAAGCATCAGAGGACATTATGAGAGTTTTATGGCAAATGTTTAGTGCATGCAGGCTTCTTACTCGGTGGAGGTATTAACATATAAAAAACAGTCAGGTAGCTCGATAGCGCTTCATCCTGCTGACAAGGATCAGCTTCAACACAATACAAAGTACTACTTAGCATTAACTACACTGTGGATAAGCCTAATATTTTATTTTTTTTTTAATATTCAATGCTTCCGGGTAACAGATGATCTGTTTTCGTGTTTCCAGCACCTAAATTTTTTGAACGAAATTGCATCCCATGCATGGTATTAGGTCTAAGGCCGGATTTTGTCTCATGAATTGTTTATAGAGCCACAGTCTCATACACAAAATCAGGTCTGCTTCAAAAACAAAATTTCCTGCATGTATTAAAAGCGACATTTATCACGACGATTTTTAGTCAAGGTAACCTCGAGTACAGCATCAATTCAAAACCTAATTTATTCATCAATCATTTTCAAAATATTCCGTCTTCAGTCCGTAAATAACTTTCTAGTGGTAACCATGCGTTAGCATATATTGGTTAATACAATATCGACGTGTAAGTACGCTTACACAAAAAATTTAGAAAAATTAAATTTTATCTGGCTGAAGTACACAAAAATGTTCGAAAGATGCGAAAAGACCTAAAATTCTGAAAAACACGATCGGTTAACTTAATCCGGACAGCCCCATAGGCTATACATACTTTTCTTTGATTAATTCCTGTACAAAAATCCAACACTCCAGGAAATTGCTTTTTAAGTTATTTTGACCAATATTCGAGCTTTTTCAAGCTGGGACGTCATGTTTTTTGCGGTTGACCTTACAGTAACCTCTTTTGGACTTTTCGCGAAGCTGCATGAAGGCATGTAATAAGAATGTATATCGTTGATGCTGGGCAGAAAAGGAGACTCTTATTGCTAACGGGATCTATCCAGTATGAAGATGCTGAATAAATCCGCTCACGGTTACCATATTTTATTTTTGTCCCTTTTAAAAAGATCTTTTCCTCAACATTATCGGCTTCGGACAAGCACATTCGGGAAACCAGCGGCAACAAGTCCAAAAAAATACTAATCGATGCCTAACACCCTACATGTGCGATAATTTGAAGTGACTTGTCCATCGTATAGTCGGCATACCCACCAAGAGGGAAGTAAACAATCATAAAAAAGCTCTAAACAATATTATGTAGTTTCACAGGTGCTAATGGCTATCTGAGAACCGATAATTCGATAGAGGAGAATTTTTATAGCATTACGTACTCGGAAGAAGTTCGAAATTATATAAATATGTACGCATATTTGTGTATAGATCATATGTAAAAAATTTAAAGCGCCATTTAGATGTAGCCTCATAAAAAGCCACTACCTGATTTAATTTAGACAAACCCATGCAATCTGCAAAAAGGTTTGTTCAACCGATAGGAGAATAACCGATACCATATTGGTATTTTTCGTCATTCCTCCTTAATAGTCAATCAAAATCGCTTTGAGTATATTAGTAGTGAGTCCTAGATTGTAATTAATTTTCTTTAGCACATTTCGGGTATTTAAAAAAATGAATTAATGGAACTTTAAAGCATGCGTAACTTAAGTTGTGTATTTCAATTTTAAAAACGTTCGAATAAATAGTAAGTGCTTCCTTCTTTTCCGACGTCTTTGCATGGATTATTCGTGTGCTTAACCTACGGCCAAATCGGTCAACTCGGCTGTTGTTAATGCTTTTTTTTTTTTTATTTTTTAGCACAAGTATCAGGTCAATGTGGATGGTACAGTGGCTGCATACAGGTTACCTTTCCTTCTGGCTGGAGGCAGCACTGTCTTTAAGACACATCCGACGCCATTTTACGAACATTTTTACCATCTACTCGAGGAGAATGTAAACTTTATTGGCGTCCGGCCAGACCTTTCGGACCTAATGGATAAGATCCGTTTTTGTCTCAACAACGAAAAGCACTGCGCACAGGTGGCACGCAATGGACGACAGTTGGTCAACGACCATTTGCTACCACATCTAATCTATTGTTATTACGTACAGTTGCTTCTGGTAAGTTTAATATAATTATATTTCTCTAATAATTATTTGGTATCGTATTTCTTGTTATATATATAATAAGGTGTTATATATATATACTAGAGGTGGTGCGTTCAAACTAGGTAGCTTCTGGCGAGTTCTAGGTCGTACCAAGCATGTATTCATCTACTCTTGGTACCAAGGGCAAGCCAGTTCGTTCTAGAATAAAAAATCAGAACGTCGTCTTTAGAACTAGAGGGAAGGTCAGTTATTATCTGGTCTTTTCGTAGCGGATGGATCCCGACTGAGATTGAAAAGTTATTGAAAACATAACGGTCTACATAAATCTGAGAAAGGCTCTCATGAGTTAAACTAAGAGGTCTCCAATAGAATTTGAATTTGAAACAATCAAAAAGTAACTGCAAAAACATTTTTGATACAACTAAAAGCTATTTTAGAGAAGAAAATAAGTAGCAATTAGATATTTCAAATGAGCTCTACTGGTGAGTCTTTTTGAGACTTTTTGTTTTTTTGCGCCTTTGAACTTCTTGGGTATTTTGAGCCTTTTTATTTTTGAACAGTTGGCCTATTATCAGCCCAATTTTTTTACAAAATATAGAAGAAGTATTTGGAAGATGATTTGTGAGCTTAGCTTCCGAATCGAAGCTGTAATCACGAAGGATGGTAGTTATATATTGAATAAACACGAACTCCAAAAATGACACGTAGAGAAATTCGTTGAAATATCTGTTTTATTTAGATACAGTTTGGGAAATAAAGTGCAAGAAAAGTCTTACCTCACACGTGCCCGCCACGTATATATATATAACATGCAACAGAACCGCTACTTCGGATACCTATATACATACACATACAGAGTGAGGCAAGCATTCTTTATGTCAGACTCCATTTCACATTGGCTAATGCAGCAGGAGATGCGAAAATGTTTAACATATTCAAATACTCCGTAGTGTGCTTATAAAAAAAAAACGAAAAAAAAAAAAAAATCTCTAAAAAATACCTGTTAAAAATGTGTTTACTTTTGCTACTCTAACAAATGTGAAGTGAAACTATCCAACTGTCAAGAAACTTTTATTTCAACCTCACGGTCAAAAAGTAATAAAAATAGGTAAATCCTAGCAGCCTAGTCCTTCTTACTGTGTATTTATGTATATGCTTATGTTATTCACTGTTATAAGGGGAAACAACTATTAATATTTGTACTTCATTGATGAAATTTATTTTTGGGAATTTGATATAAAGGTGCAGTATCTTAAATGTGTGATTTGGAATAGGGAAATGAAGCTACCACTAGTAGTAGTATATTGAAACTAAGCCAGTCGTCTAAAGCAATGCTTATGGGGAATAGCAGACGTCTTCGCTAGCTTATTGTTGGAAGCGGTCGGAAACTATCCACCGCCAATATCCAGGGACTTGAATAACGCAGAAATCGACCACTTAATACGTTACAGTTGCTATGAGTAACCACACGATGAATACATTATTATGAAGCTGAGAGCGGACACGGAGACCGATGACTGACATACATTATTTTTATCCGCTCCGCAGACCTGCGCTCGAAGTTTCAATTCGCATATGACAAATACCCTTTGTGTGAACATTTTTATAGGAATTCGCGACACGTATTGAAGGTCCAGTGGAAGTTCCTGATGGGATGAAGCATGTGGACCATAGACAAGATAGTAATTGCAACTGTTTTTCAGTTGCAAGAAGTAGTAATCACTATAGGCCATTAAATAGGACTTCATACAGGAAAGAATTGTGACAGCTCTTCATGCAGAAGGTGAAATCACACAGCAGGGATTGAACTGGCAGTTGTTTAAAATGTAAGCATTGCAGGTTATTCTAAGTTTGCTTAGTCATCATTTTCATGTCACTTGTACATCTATTAAGACCAATATCCCAACACGGACGTAGTGTTAAATTGTATACACTCCTATTGAAGTGGGACTCTTGCTTAATAACATAACAAAAAATATAACAACACCTAAGCAATGTAATATACAGACGTTATACGATGCCAAAGCGAAATAGTATTAGACTCACATATAGAAGGCTGATGTTATATATATGTACATAGATATATATGTATACATATACAACGATTTGTTTAGAACGAACGCTTAATGTTTTCGTTTTATATGTATATATATAATTAGCAGGTTTTTGTGATAAATTCGTATTCACATCTAATAAAGGGGGTTAAAACCACAAGAGGTTTGTTTTTAATGATTATACTACAGTTATCAAAGCCATTACTGTGGCTCGTTAAGCTACGTACTTTTTTATTGCTTGAATGATAAAAGAAAAAGGGTGGTACCGGGTCACAGTCATTCAAATCGCAACGGATAAACGATCACTGCAACCTAATACAGATCATATACCTCTCTGCGAAACCTAGTAAGGCTCTTGTGTTTTGTAATACATTCCCCTTGAATTTCTGTACTAAAAACTGAATTAAGGAATAGTAACGGATACTATCAAAAGACTCTGGAGTACTCTTGGGCTTTTTATACAGTACATAGTATGCCAAGTTTAGGAACTCCATACATAGGTTCTTGGCCTCCCGACTCTGGAGCCCTATTGAGCCTGAATACAATAGCTGTGTACGCTCGGCCTCATAGCAACATAAAAGCAAATAATCATTGACATTTAGTAGCGTATTGCTTTGATAAGAGACATCTATCCAATCAAAGTTAGTTCTTTAACGGTCTAATATATCAAATCATGGCTATCATCCTCGTGTACAAATAGATATTTTTTAAGAAGATCAACAAAATCTTCCAGATGTCCAGATACCAATACGATATCTATGTAGAACTAATCCATAATGCGTCCGGACAGATTTCTCATGCGAGACAAAATCTGTGAACGATGGGTAAGACGTGCTAATAAAGGGTCCGCAAATAAATGCTCTTAGATACAACACGTACTACAAGAGTAAGTTATCCAGTTAATTTCAACATATGAATATCTAAAACCTATTGAATATATAAAAATGTACTCTGTTTGAATTACGGTCATATTCCTATCGGCCGCCGTTACCTTAAAATATGGCTACAAAACTTAACAATGCTTACACATCGTAAAGATTTCGCACAATGTATGCAGACCGACGAGTATATGTACGACACTTTGAGATTGAACCGTCCCAAAATGTCGTACTTATTTTTTATTTATTGCATTCATTCTGTAAAACACAAAAAAATACAAACCTGATAGTGCAAGAATTAAATCGGTCGTGGAAAGCGTAAAAACATTTTCGGGGTCTTCGATTCCGTCATTTGATTGCATGTAGGAACATGACGCTTCCAATTGTTATTGAGAAAATGTATTATTTACTCAAACGACTTTAGCATCTCGTTCCCAGCTTAAAACTTGATTGAAGTGGAATCAATAGCCACAAATGATCAATTGTCCTAATAAAATACGCAAGGCTTGTATTCAGTGATAGCAAGGTTGGCCTACCTGTCATCGTGTTGGGGTTGATGAAGCGGCTGCAAATCACAAAATTGCATCGCGCGAAATGTTATCACCTATCATTTTGCCAAGCAAGAATTGATCATTATCGCAATTTCATTTCTTCCAAATTTCCGAATCGTGGCGGCCTAGTGACGCTTAAAACATGACCACAAGCAAAATAAACATAACAAGAATGATGTTCTTGCTGTGTTTATTTTGAAACAAAGTTCGTTATTGAAACCCCCTTAAGCAGAATGTGATTTCGAAAGACAATAACCCGGTATTTTTAAGCAAAGAAACATAGCGATTGGACTTATCGGCCGACGTGCTAATTGCTGGCCGCATCCTGGTGGCGTTCATGCCACTGGCGATGATTGATTGTAATTATTATTGGCCCACCTGTTGAAGTTTAGTCAAGCACTTTGTTCTGACCAACATGGCTCTACAACGACCCAAAACCGTTACGTATTGCAGCTTTTCTCTGTCAGGATTCCTGTAAGCTAGGTACGACTGAACCATTTTACGGCTATGCGCACTCTGCTTGCCTACTAATTCAAGCTAACCTAAACATAAAGTAGGTGATCTACTGCGTTAACATGGTTTTATTAGCAAGTGATCGTTTAATGGGCATCATGAAACTTGCAATAATAGATTTGTATGTCTTCTAGTAAAAATATATATTTTCAATACCAATGAAAGTACATACTCAGCAGCACATCTGATTCATATTTCCCAAAAAAAACTTAATCACTCCTTCGTATTGCTTGACTGTTGTAGAATACATCTGCATTTTCTATGTTCATTTAGAATTTCACAATGATCGTATTAACTAATTAATCCGAATCAAAAACTTATTCAATTCAATATGAAATTAACTTGGTACAGAAATGATTACTGGTTTAAGATTATCACCATAACCGACAATCGAAGTTCCCAAATTCGTAAGCCGTGCAAGGTCTTGAACGCGCCAATCTTCATGTTAAAATGCCTGTTTGAGACCGGTGCTGAAAGCTCAGCAAAATATTGTGGTACATCAATATTTCAAAAATAATTCGTTATAAATTATAGCCGGTTAACTTCGTTTGAAGTTTACTTGAGCATTTTTAGGCTTAACAAAAAAAAAAAAAGGCTGTACAACGAGATTACAAATAATAACTCGAATCGTAGGTATATGGCTGTCCAGAAGCTGCCAGGGTGCCAACACAAGCTTGTACATCTGCTAAGAAACAAACAAGCAAAATAATTCTAATCAAATAAACTAGACGTCCACCCAAGCGTATTCAGACGGCAGGGTCGACTGCCTTACAGTTCTCGAAAGAACAGGCTTCTGCTTAGGGTATCCATAGGCTGAAGAAGTAAGTGCGCGTACCAAATCTCATACCCGTAACAAGCTAATAGCCATGTACTTTAACATCAAATAATGGACATGGCCCAGTGCCAACAATTTGACAACTTTCATTTTTCATATTGTCAACGAAAGAAAATTTGTGCCAAGTAATCTTAACATGCGTTCCTGTCACAAACAAACGGTAAGCCTATATTTTAGCCCACTGCTATATATTTTCAATTTTCAAAAAAAACAATTTCAAAATCGACGTTTGAAAGCTGTTGGATCTGTCAGTGACCAATGCACGTACTTTTTGCCCTTGAAAGAATATGCAACAAATCCCTATACCACCCGCGGTTTAAGAAGCCAATACGAGTCAGTGATTGTTTTAGGTAAATTAAAAATATATACCGATATCGCTAGCATATTGGTTTATAAAGCTATAACAAAGAGAAGCGGGTCAGGCTCCACCAGATTGCAGGTAACTTGTTGTAGACATAAAAAATGGTTCGCCGTACATCGCCATATATACCTAACACATGTTCAATCGAGTCGAAGCTCTCATAAAACAGCTTAATAAAAAAAAAGCTAAACATATTATACTATAGATGAAGGATAGATCTGACAGTTGCGCTTTTGGCTGCAATGCCGAGCCATGTCGGCTCAGTCTTCGTCAAGGCATGTTTTCCGGACAAGGCTATATCAAACAGTAGACATATGGGTTCTGCTACTTGAAATTTAAAATTGTTTTTATTTATCAACGAATGGAGTGCAGTATATCTAAGGCTTTCCATTTGGTTTCACGCGACCACCTATCCTTTCCACGTCAGACGACGAGACGTGTTCTGGACACGCCAGAGTTCGCTCCAAATTGATGAGTCTACCATTACCTTGAATAGAGCTTTCGTCGTTACTATCGGTAATTATTGTGGATACTCCACGTTGTCTTCAATTAAAGTACATTAGAGTAGATCTGTTATATATAGGGTAAAAATTATATATATAAGATTAATTATATGCATATAAAACTTTTGAAAATGGTTACATATTCGGTATGCTAAAATATCTAATAAACGTAATGCTAGTCTACCAAAGTGGGCAATCGAATAACTCATTCCTTGGTACCTGAAAAAACGTTATATTAAAAAAAAGGATATATTTAAAAAAAAAAAGCTGTTTCTTATTTGAGTTATCTTTCACATCGTTCGTACTAGCTAAATTGTGAAAGCCAGCTTTACGCGCGCTTCTAACATAAACATTGAAGGGAAAGGGCGACTTTTCTGGCGTAGTGTATGTGCTTGTTTATCAGCAAAATCAGCTGATTCGGAGCTTAATACAGTGGCTAGAAGTTCTATACATACCGCTTTACAACTGTTTGTCCGTTAGGTCAGTACAAGGGAGGCACCCCAGTTTTAGTACGATGTACCCCAGTAAGAGGTCTGTGAGTGGCTATCTTTTATTAATCCTGAAAATTCGGAAGAGACGTAACAGTTTCATTGTATTGTTTCATTAGTTATAACGTGCACCACGGATACTTAAGAAGGACAAAAAAAAGGTGGTCGTGGACACTTTGGCAAAGAATTTGAATTGCACATTAGAATAATGAGATTTTATTTCGAACAATACCTTTAAGTGTTTTCATTGTCGTGCAGATTACACAGTTTGTCCACGAGACTCTATCTGCTAAGACTCTGATGTAGTTCTTAGCTCATCTTCGCAAGCCTCGTTTCAAAGATCAGGAACAAAATCAACCTGCAACTAACGGGGAGCAAGCATGTTTAGTTTAGACGACTACTTTATTCAAATGTTCATTTATTGATTTTTATTGTCAATTTATTGAATAAATTGCAAAATTTATCGCCGGTATTATTCGTCTAGTCTGAAAATGCTGACTTGTCTTTTTGCCAGTTCTTTTTACCACCTTGTTTAGATCGTACCTGTTTAGTGAGATGGTTATTTCACTTGTGAATTTTCAGCCACTCATCTAATTCGGTAATTACAAAATAATAATAAAATGAGAAACTACTTTAATTTCTTATTCAGCTCGAACATATGCCATGAGCAATCAACATAATATTTGTGGAGTATTCATTAGAGGAATAGCTTTTCAAAGCTGTTTATTACATTCTTAGATCGTGAATATAATATCAGTGTTGTAAAAGTTGTGAATAATGATGATCTAATTTTATTAATTAATTTTACCATATTGCTTTACTTATAGGAGGACATTTACATAGGTGTTCGGCAATGATTTTGTCGAAATTTCGGTACCAACAGGCAGCGAAACTACTATCAAAATCCTCTATACGGTTAGTTTGCGGACTCTACGTCTTGTGAGGGCTATTGTCGATGTGAATTGCGCGAACGTTTTATTTCTAGCGAATTATTTTGCAGCTTTTTTGTTTTTGTCTTGTGCGTTAAACAACACGTCACGACGTCGTACACTTTATTTGAGTGGTACCAGGTAGTACACGCTCTAAAACACACTGGGTTACAGGGTACTTATTGTCAATATTTTGGTTAAAAATGCAATAACATATCGGCAACTGTAACAGATCATTCCACATACTTGGTGCACGCTAGGTGGTCAAGTAGACACAGTCATTCTACGAAGTTCGTCTTTTCAAAATGTGCTTTCACTTTCTTTATTTCTATTTCTTCAAATGTTAGCCATGCTTATTTCGATATAGTAAATCAGAGTAGGCACCTAACCTAAATTCTATTTTTATACGAACTATGTTTTCCATTGTGCGTATGGCATTTATTGGTTTTAACTGTACCTAAATAAGGATGTGGATTGTTTCTTCCAAGCCAACGATTCGGAATTAATAATGATAACATAACCATCTGCACCAAATTCAATAAAATATGCGAACGACTAATAGTATGTTATTTTGTTTTCCAGCCAAGCTGTTGGTCGAAGCTGTTACGACAAATCCAGGGAAAATGTTATCAGATTGCCGAAGGTTTCACCTACCCTTCGATTTATTTCAGGGGTGGCGCTCACAGCCACGTTAAGTTATAAATTATCAATCAGTGTCAAGGTATGGCGTAATCTAGCGTACGTTTACTCTTGTGGACAAGTTTACAGCAAAGATCTTTTCAAATATACCAACTGGCAGTGTGTGCTAGGTATTTATATGGAATTGCAGTTTCGTAGTTTTTTTTTTATTGGCCATTCATTTGAAAGTATCTATTCGCAGTTTAACAATCTTATTATCCTATAATACGTAACAGAAAACTTTCAAAGAATTGCTTGATCAATAGTGGGAACATTTCTCCAGAGTACCGGTAAGGAGCATTGTTTGGCGCCTACTTCTTCCGACTTTTTGAGCGTGAGACTGCGTTGTGACATTTAAGAAAATTCTGGTACATAAATGCTGCCGACAAACCAAGGTTTACATGCTTTTAGGTTGCAGACTGCAAGAGAAAGACTTGGGCAGTACGAGAAGACGACCACAACCGAGAGTTCAATTGGACCTTATTCTTACGGTTTCTGGCCCCAGAAAGCTGCATGATGATTATAGCAATTGTGGTAAAGATTTTTCACAGAGATTTTTCACAGTTATAATAACAACAATTGTGAAGCAAATTATATTAAAAATTACCCACTCGTAAATTTAGTAAGGTAATACAGATTCATATTATTAGTGATATGGCAGCATAGAATACGTGCATAGTAGAGTATGATTTTACTATGCGTATGCCGCGGGTCGCTGCAGGGTGTTCGCCTATTAATTTGTTTTTTTTTGATTTATGTGCGCGATTTTCATTTTCTTTTCACTCTGACAGAGTTCGTTGGCAGTAGCCGTAATCAACATTATGATAGCGACTTATCTAGGGGATATTATATCTGTAGTTGCGGAATACACGCGAGAAGGACTCCAGGTGACGCGTGGGTCCTTTTTTGAGGCTGTCCGGGGTCCTGCTGCACGGCTGGTCGCGATCTATACCGCTCAGGTATAGAACTGGGTGGAGTAGTTTGATGGATCTTTAGAGCATCTATTAACTTCTATTAGAAATACACTGCTAGTTACGACCTGCCAGTAATTGTAAACAGGGACTCAAATGTAAGCACTCACATTTGTTCAGATCATACAAACTAGTCGTCACAGGATATCCTGTACTTTTTGGAAAAGCACAAAAGTTTATGGGATGGCCTTTTAGCAAAGCTAAGGTCTAGTTAGTTTTACGGTTATATTGCAAGCATTTTTTTCGAATATCGAATAAACTTCTTATTTAACCTTGAAGCCATTAGCCAAATTAAAAAAAATCCGGTTATTCTCAACAGTCATTGTATCATAATCGTAATAATTTTATTAATTTTCTTTTATTAATGATGAGACTAGTTAAAGCAGAAAATTGGTCACTTGAGCCTATGCTATTGCGCAAGCTTTCTTATATAGTTCCGCAGAATCACCTCGATGACATAATTGTACAAAATGGCAGTGATTCTAACGAACCGATTCAGTATATCAAAGCCGTATAAATTAAACGTAGTCTATCAACTTTGCCTTGAAAACGAATTAATATTGACATAGCAAAGGGAGGATTTTAATTAGGTCGTGAATAAAGACTATATATCTTACGTAGGGTATCTTTACTTGGATATACCTGTGGTCGCTATCGGACGTCGGCGAAGGCCTGTCGTCGCGTCTCCGGGCAGCTTTGTTCAAATCTATCCTTCAGCAGGACATAGCGTATTTTGATGCCACGAAAACTGGTGAGATCATGAATATATTGAGTGGAGATGTTCAAGAATTCAAGAGTTGTTTCAAGCTGCTCGTATCGCAAGGTCTTCGTAATATAGTGCAGGTCTGTGTAAAATAAAATCATCTGTTTACAATATATTTATAATTTTTAGAAGTGGAGTTATTTAACTGAACAAGAAATCGCAGCTTGATTCTTGCTGCAAAGATACAGCATAGAGTAACGTAAATACTTCGAAATGAAGACCAGAACGAGTCACACTGAACTATTTTCAACAAGACTCTATTATAAGGCAAAAGTGTTTTTTACACTCTCCCGGAAATAAATAAAACGAAAATCACATAAAACAAACGAGTCATATTGCCACTGAGTGATTTCTCAGTTGAATGCCCTGCTTGACCTAAGCCATAAGCTTGTGTCAGTTCTAAAAGGACCAACATATTTCAGCATGAAAATAAGCCAAAGTTAGAATAAATCAATGTTTTAGTGCAAAATATCAGAGAATAAGCCATAGTTGAAATTAAGCCACTTAACTGTTCCTTTTGTTGCCTTAGACGATAGGTTGTGCGATAAAACTGTATGCAGTCTCCCCAAAGATGACCGGCTTCATGCTTATCATTGTCACTAGTATTGTAACGTTCGGTACTATTCTTGGGTCCGAACTACGAAGGTTGTCCACACTCGCACAAGCTCAGGTAAATCCGCAACCCTAGACTTTGTACCCTTAGACAATAAAAATAAAGACGCCAATAAAAAGAGAATTCTGACGATCGAATCAATATGTCTAAACATTTTACTGCTAATCTCTATGCAGAGATCTAGACGATACTACTAGTGTTTTCATATATTATGCTGCTTATTACTACACAGATGGCGCATGCGATTGGTGTAGCGGATGAAGCGGTGGCGAACATCCGCACCGTCCGAGCTTTCGCCATGGAAGACATCGAACAGTCACATTTCAGCAATGAACTTATGCGAGCGGAATATCTCAACGTCAGAACGGGATTCTGGATCGGAGGATTTCAGGTGTTTTGCCCTTATAATAGGTAGTTGGGCGAGATTTTTGATAATACCCCAGTGTATAGGTTGTAGTAGAAATCTATCTACAGACAGTAGGTTTGACTTGTCAACCAACTATGATGAGTAGAAAGAACTGGCTGGAATCTGCCAATGGCTTTTAACGTTTTCGTTGTAGGAATGGTAACGACAATAATATTACATATACATTGCCCCAAAAAGTATACATCGCCCTATGGGTTATACGTTTCGAAATGTTTTTTGCTCTTCATGGAGTAATCAATCGGAAACAACGAGAATACCAATACACTTATGAAACAATATATATATATATATATATATTTTTTTTTTTTTTTTTTTTTTTTTGAAATATTGTTGGAAGTCTAAAAATGTTGCAGAAGTATATAATGTAGGGAGCTCCAGGCAGGTCTAACAATGCAACATAAAATATCAGACAAGAGATGAATGTGAAACTAATTTAAAGTATCTAAGATGTTTATAAATACCGTTCCATAAAACCATGAACATCAACGGGTAACGAAAACAAGTGAAAGGAACATCCAAGAATCAGTAAAACAGTCAAATCGCCAGCTTGGCATTACCGAATTAAATGGACACGTTATAAGCGGAACGATGATATTTTAATAATAGGATTCATTGAACAGCTTATTTTTGACAGTATAGTGGCTGAACTTATTGCAAAGATACTTTTTAGCACGCTTTCGGAGACATTTTGGTGAATTTTCTTTCCAATAGAACGCATTACGTGCCCGTTCCCCAGACCTGACGCCAATGGTCTTTTTATTTTAAGGGTACTTTAAAGATAAAAGCTACGCCAGATACCCGGCGACACTGGAACATTTAAAAGTCACATTTGAGAGGAATGAGCGATAACTCCAAAGGAAATGGTTGTCGAAATTTGGAAATCAACAGTCCACTGTTATTATCGGTGTATGAGCACAACGGTAAACGCTTTGAACATCATCGGTATGAGAAAGAAAGACAGCTACTTTGCGTAGATTCTTTAGCAAATTAAGTACGAATTATATGTAAACAAAAACTGAAGTTATAATTATTCAACTGTGTATACGTTTTTTGGGACATTCTGTGTACGTGACGCATTTCGATAAACTCATTTATATAACAGTGCGATTAAATGTTTTAATGCACAGGCACTTTCTAATATCGCTATGAACGGCATCACACTAGGAATTATCTTTATGGGCGGAAAATTAATGGGCGATGGTGAAATAACACCAGGAAACTTCATGAGTTTTATGGTGGCCGCACAAATGATACAGAGGTAAGACTGGATAATACTTTCCTTTTATGCTTGGCTTTGAAGAATGAAAACTCTGCTTTAATTTTTGACTGATCCGGTCAGTACTGAACTCCATTGGAGGTTTCACATTTTACCTGTTAGCATGTATTTACATAACATACCTGTACATGCGTCTGCTATAACCACAGCGATAGGTTTCTTTGATAGTTAAATTAATGGGCTTCTTTCGACTATATGTACTAAAAATATGCAACGTTTCTAAATTGGCAACGCATTAGATTTTCTATATCTGAAATTTTATGTTCTGAAGTGCCGTTTTTTTTATTTAATATAGGTCGCTTGGTCAGGTATTCGTGCTGTTTAGTCAGTACGTGAAGGCTAAGGCGTGTGGGGCTCGCGTCCTTGACATGATTGCAATGAAGTCCATAATCCCTCTACGAGGTGGTGCAGTGATTCCTGAGGATTATTTTAGCGGCGAGATTCGACTGCGTAACGTCACGTTTGCGTATCCCACACGGCCAGATCAAAACGTCGTTGATCATCTTAGCCTAAATATCCCACCTGGTAAGGTGGTCGCTCTCTGCGGCAGCTCTGGTTCGGGGAAAAGCACAGTCGCTGCTCTGATTGAAAGGTTGGGTACGGCGCCGTTCGTGTGTGCCTTGTTATACAAAATAGGATTTTTAATAGACAAATTCGACCTATGCGCAAAACTTTCTGTAACAAATGAGTGACCTTGCGCTGGTCTTCATTCTAGTCCAAGATAGGCTGGGCAGGCTATGTTTCTCAGTGTACTTGAAATATTGCAAGCAGGTGTGGTAGATAATGAAATCAAAAATGCATTCAATTGTTAGAGGATTTATTAATATAATATAAAACGTTTGTCAAGCTACTAAAGTCACGCCTGATATGCGAACGACCTTTCCCTTACAGGTTTTATGACGTAAATAGTGGTGAAGTGTTGATCGATGGAGTGAACATTAAACACTTGGATGGTCATTGGCTGCGTGGATCCGCCATCGGCTCTATTTCACAAGAACCTGTACTGTTCGCCTCATCAATCCTTGAAAATATCCGCTACAGCCGCCCTAGCGCCACAGATGAAGAGGTTTGTGCAGATATTCAATATGTTGTATTAAATCATCTTTTAAATACGTCTGCTTTTCCGTATGTGCGAATATCTGCAGCAAAATGGATCTAAACATTATTTAACGGCAAGATATTACTAACAGTACTTTATTTTTTGTCTTTATCATAATTTCGAAAAGGTAATGGAAGCGGCCAAGCTAGCAAATGCTCACGACTTTATCATGTCGTTTGAGAAAGGCTACAATACTCAAGTAGGCGAACGCGGCGTTACTATTAGTGGAGGCCAAAGACAGCGAATTGCAATTGCACGCGCCCTCCTCAAAAACCCGCAGGTTAGCGTTCGAATCTATACGTATATATATATATTAACAGCAACAATAGCAATAACATGATCTGCAGGGTTTCTACATGATTGTTGTTACTATTATTTCAGTTCTAAGCGTCTATGACCTTTATTAGCTACGCAATAATTTCTGTTACATACTTAACATTGTGCGAAGATTCCATTTGGTTTTTTTGTGTAAATAATGTCAGTTCATTAAATAACAATAGAATGAGCAGAAATGACAGAAGATTTAGTCTTCCCGAATGCATTTAATTCACGTACAATTACTTTTAAAGCCTTTATTGAACAGTATACCCTTAATTTATTGCTGGTTGAATTGCTTAAAATATTACAAAATTAAACGAAATAATGTTTTTTTAATAAATTGGAAGTTCCCAGTTTGGATTGTACAATTATTTTTTTTGTCGAACAGATTCTGATCCTAGACGAGGCAACAAGTGCTCTGGACACCCAGTCTGAAAAAATGGTACAAGAGACTCTCGACCGAATCGTCAAGGGAAAAACAGTACTTGTGATTGCTCATAGACTTAGCACCATTCGTAACGCTGATATCATCTACGTCCTGCGAAACGGAAAAGTTGTTGAGGTAAACGTTGGCTTTAACATTGCTAAAATCAGCTGATGAAAGGCAAAGTTCCCTTACAGTTTTGTTAAAAGAGACGCATCAGTTTGCATAATTGTGAACATACTTAGTCAAACGGCCCTTTGATTGCATTTCGTACCATATATGGAATAGTTGACAGGATTTTGTAAGAACACTGTTGTGCATTGCTGCCGTCGACATATATAGTTGTTCTCATCATTTCCCATTTCGGTAGCACTATATTGTTTCAGATGACGCTCACCTTTCAATGTTAGTTAAAACGATGTATGGTTTCAAAGCTGTTTCGTTGTGAGCTTAATTCGGATGAGAATGTGAGATAATTATACATTATTTATGAATGGCAAGTTCGGCCTACGCTAAAATACGCTTCTCATGCTTTTAACGGGTCGTTTCAGAGTGGCGATCACGCAACGCTCACGTCGCTGAAAGGGGTATACTGGAGACTAGTACAAGAACAAGTACAAGATAACCCAATGGAATCGGAAAGCAAATCATTTTTTGGCAGATCTTCAGGATAAGCACTTTTTATTTCACTAATTATTTGCAGTTTAAACCATTTAAATAGGAAGATAGACAAAGTATTTTTTGGTTAATATTTCGTAGAATTTCAGTTCTCTCATGTAAACGTAAAATGTCATCCAGGATCATAGTGTTGATGTTTAGAAGACCAAGTCGCAAAGAGAAATAGCCCATGAACGCGTCACATGGATCGTATGTAGCTTCATTTTACGTCACGTGTAGGATTATACGAAGGATTGTTTGGGATGTGCATTACTCAGCCTTTATTATTAAATTTCTAGCCATTTATATTACCCATATTTGTTGGCAGTATGTTTTATAGTATTCATATTTACCTGGTTTATGTTTGTTATTTACTGCTTGAGCGGGAAATTTGAATTTCTTTAGATTCAGAATAAACTGAGATGGTAGCATAATCTTAAAATTGAGTTAATTGGTGCGTTTAAAATCGTAATTTTTTCGAGTTTTTTCATCATAAGCAGTGTTTCTATGTCGGAATTTCGGGAAAAATCAATTATTAATCGATCTTTTTCGCTGGTCTTAAACCGACAGTGAACGGTATAGCAAGTGGGTATGCGGTAACAAAATAAGCGGAAGCAGCTTGCACTATATAGAGTAGAAAGAAATGTGCACAGTGTTATAGAAAAGTGAATTTCCTGTCCTGGATCGTTGGCGAAAAAGTTTCAGATGGATATGGCTTTCGTATCACGGATTGTTTACGAAGGCTGAAGGTGTAGGTCATGTGTCATGAAAGGCAGGCAGATACTCTCTGAGATCGCTAAACGTTGGAGATTCACTTGATGTCGTTTGTCTTTCAAGCCTCCTAAACATAAAGCAGCAAATCATCTTCAATTTTTCTTGAAGAGAGCATTTTTACAACCGATGTAAAAATCAACTGACAAGACATCATGCTACCCGGAAAGGCGAGACTATCAAACGTTTATCTGAATGTTATTCTTTATCATATTTTGTCCGATCGTGGATAGGCGAAGTGTTTGGAGGAAGGCTATGGGTCTTTCAGTGGGGTGGTATATTGGCTCGTAGTGGTCAAATAGTGTAGCGTCGGGTACGGTACAATACGAGCCCGGAAAGAGCGCATGTGGCCGTCAAACATTCCAGGTAGAACTCGTTAGGTTATTATTATTATATATAAAGCTATAAAGCGAGAATCCAAGGAGCCGCTATGTGACAACATTTACTAGCCAGTTCGTATTATCAAGAACGCGCTCTCGCGATTTCAAAGGGAAATTTTAAGGTAAGCCTGCGATAGGTTTAGGTTTTAAAGTTCTAGCTGTCATCAAAATGAGCTGAAGCACCGACGTGTATTCAGTCAATATAAAATCCTATTATATTACCGGATTTCGTGTTATTTTGGCCCATAACTATTGTCTTTTCACGCTAGTTCAAAAACCTGCTGTTTAGGTTAATTCATTGTTAAAACTGCTAAGGATGAAGGCCATATAAGGCTACTCTTCGTAGTCTAAATGGAGTGAGAGATGACTACTTGCTAATCGGTGTAAGAGGCGATATCGCGCGCAAAACCGGGGGCCTTGGTCAGAAACATCACTTCAGTATACAATTCAGTGCAATTTTGGACTGAATTGATGGGTCCAGAGGGGAGCTGACTTACTATATTACTCCGTTCTTAACTGGGACACGGGAACTTCTAGAGTTGCTTGCATAGAATAGGCAAGGACCCTTTGCCGATATCTGTGCACTGTAGAAGCGGTGCTAAAGCTGATGCCAAGTACAATATGATGGACTGCCATGTATTGGAACTGGCACGATGAATGAAAGCGACAGATTTGCGAGACAACTGAAAAATTGCGCCTAGAAAACTAATCAGAAATACAGCAGTTGAAAAAGAGCGCTAAAGAGAAAACAAGCCGAACAACAATCAGCCGAAGAAGAAAAATAACCGTAGACCCAAATCGCTCCGCATAACATGAGATGATGGCACTTGAAGGCCGACTAGAATATACACGGGACCGATTAATGTACAATCGATACTGGAAGCTTTAGTCTGAAGTAATATTTCGCTCATTTCCAAACCAAGGCTCAAACATACGCGGCACAGGATTTAGCGGAAAGGTATATCTTACTACAAAATGTGTGCTCTCAACATTTTTGAATATAAAAAAAATATATATATATATATATGAAAAAAAAAAAATATATATATATATATATTTTTTTTTTCTTTTTTTTTTTGATAAAATACACGTTTCTTACTTTTCCATTAGCTGTTTATTTATCCAACTGCCGCAAGTAAATACAATCCTGTAGTAAAGGTGACAACAGTACCGTAGAAGTTCCATGTTCCGAGTCCATCTGAGGTTTCTCACTTACTTGACGACACGAAGACATTCGGTTTTCATCTAGTGCTGGCGGCCTTTGTTTAAATTCATTATTATAATTAGTCGTTATGTACATCGGTGGTGCGGTCCTTGAAATCGGAGGGGTACAGATCTATTGACAGTCGTTACAAAATGAAGATTCCGCGCCAAAAACGTCGCGGTAATAAAGTACATCTATTGCATAGAATATTTTAAAATTATAGAGTTTTTCACTTTATAAAAGAAATGGTCAACTATCATGCGAATTTAAGCGACACCTTTTGATTTTCCTAATCTAAACATCGTCAGCATGTTAATTCAAACAGCTAGTAGTAGTTAATGATAACATACGTTCAACTACAACAGGTCAGTAATAACAAAAATTATCATAGTATTAACAATAAATATTGCAGCCCCATGACGCCAACCGTGTGTATGCATTGGCAGACATTTCCTATTCTCGAATGTTCTCTCTCATTTTCTCACACGTACACTGCAGTACACCTAATAATGACCTAATCTGTATTAACTATGCATTTGAAAATTTCTCCAGGAAAGCTTATACCAGGATGAATATCCACATAATGATGCTTCTGAAATTGTGCCAAGAAATTGGGGTTCAAACGGTTGGTGGAGCTACAAATTAGGTTCTTCGAATTAGGTTAGGCTGATCAGTTCTGATCCTGACGGAACTATGCTAACAATTCTCCATTAGTTTCTGAGTTCAAAAGTCTACGATTTCCTGCGATACTCATTTTCAATATCAATGTTTGCGACTCTCGTAGTGTGTTTCTTCTCGTAGAATTTAGTTTTAATTAAAGTCCCCATACGCAGACCTTTTGTTCCTTGCCACTGCTAGCCACAAAGTCGCCCGACGGACTCCAACTGGTGCAAACGATAGCTGAAGTAAATTTTCGAAGTTTAACTTCTAGTTTATTGGTCAATGTGCTCCAAACAAACAGTGTACCATCAGCCGAGCCGACCACGACGCGGGTGCCATCCGAACTAAACTTCGCTCGTGTAAAATCGTAGCCCACTCGGAAATCGTCATCACTGAAATACATGATAGGTTTACTAAGACTTGCCACAACAAACGCCACAAACGACAGTGATACAAAAACATAGCCCGTAGCTAAACAGATAATAATTAACGACGAGGTAGAGGTCCACAGAGGCGAAATATAGAAATAGTCAAGCTTACAGAAAGAATCAATTATTACGGCAGTTAGATCCAATTAAAGTAAAGAAATGGTAAAATGGAAAATTAAGAGTAAAAATTAGGTTGAAAACGAAAATGACATTGAGTGGGTTGAGCACATATAACAAGACGTAAGCTGACGCAAGCGGTGCCATACAATTGTCACGGGCATGCGAACGAGCATACGTCATGACATTTTAAAAAGGGAAATCGAAATGAAACGAAAGCTTTATGGACACAGATATTTATATCAGTCGGTGAATGTCTCTCTTAATATATACACGCATATATACAGACACAAATATATTTTTCTATAATATTGTTTTACATTAATTAACAATGTGCGTCAGATTTATCTCAGAATCACATAATCAACCAAGAAGGAGCATAACTACCGATAGTTCTGTTTTTTATCCTCAGTTATAAAAAACAAACAGCACATCAAAGAAATAGTAGTACAACAGAAAGAGATACTGAAGGAAAGAATCAAGTGTTACAAATACCAAGAGGTGTATATATATTCATATAAGTTAACAATTACAAAAAGCTATGGTATTCTATCAAATAATAGTCAAGTCTTGTCTGTTTTTCGACCTTAATCTTGTACACGTTTTCATTCGTTTTTCCGTGAATGCGAAAAAAAAAGGTTTAGACTAAATAGAACGCAGCAAATCCGATAAATTTATCCTTGAGAACATCTAGCTTGGTCAGTCCTCTCTTAAAGAACCGGTGGCTCAATCTTCCATCAAATCGCGAAACCTTTTGGACTGTTTCTTAAATAATGCAAAACTGCTAAGTACACCCTGATAAAAATATAAAATAATCAATGTGTTTATGTAATTTTTTTTCAATTATGGAGGCTAATGATTTACTTAACATGGTCAAACAACAGTATTATGTTCTCTGGATATCGAAAGATGAATTATTTCTAACTCGGTTGGAATATTCTTTCTGCTGAGAATTAGCAACATCAGAATGCGGACAAAAAAGTTAAAGGTAAATATTATCGGTTGTTTTTACTACGAATCACAGCTTTTTACTTACCAGAAGGTCGACAGAACCTGGTTGGCACGTACATCGATGACTTTGAGAGTGTCATCACGCACACAGCAGAGAACATAAAACCGATCACTCGAAAGATCGAGAGAAGTAATTTTACCGCCGAGCAAAATTTCCGTTGGTGAAGTGTCACTCCGAGTATACCAGAAACGAACTTTCTTGTCAAAGTGGCCGCTGATGATATTCGTTGCTGTGGGGACGGTAATATAAAAACCTCGTCATAACGACTTTAGATATTGAATTTAATCTAAAAACAAATAACTTTCGTCTTTTTCTTTTTTAACATACGTACATTGGTTCGATCAAAGAGGATTGAGGGACGTTTTTTTTATGTAATACCTATTATCGTCTCTTAGGACTTCATAGGCTTAAGCACCTTTTTATATGACATGCAAGTAAGCAAATCTCTTTGCGTATATCAAACATGAGAAGAACTAACTTTTAACTAAAATCTTATTAATCGCACGAATTAGACAATGAAAATTGATTAAGTCTAATCCAATAAGTTTAGATTAGCTGACACAAAGATCAAATGCATTCGATCGCAGCTAACATCATCCTACAAAAGCGCCGCAAAAAAAGGGCACAGTGTTGTACTGACTGTAACCAGTGTGAATTATTTGATACTAAGCTGCTACGAAAGCCTACCAGCGCAATCAGATATAATGAGATCGTTGCATGACGAGCCCGCAAAAAGTGTTCGCAGACAGCAGTTCTTTTTGAGGTCCCACAATTTGAGAGTGCGATCATGTGAGCCCGTGGCCACATTTGAGGTCCCATTCAAAAACTTCGCAGCCATAACTTTGGCGCTGTGACCTGTCAAGGTATGCTGCAATACTCCAACAATAAAACAATTTGCAAAATCAATGTTTACGAATAGCATAAATCTTTTCATGGAAAAAAGAAGTACCTTGAAAACTTTAATACAGTTTTTACTAAGCGAAATAAAGACAGACCCTCAGGCGCTGGTCGTGTATAGTCCAAACTCTGGCCGACATGTCGTTGTTAGCGGCAAGAACAGCTTCGTCTTCAGTATCCATGCAGATTGAGGTGATCGCCATGTTACTTCCACTAAGCGTGCATCGAAGCGACGCGAATTCCCCGTTAAAATCCCATATCTTAACCTTGCGGTCAGCGCCACCCGTCGCCAACATCTTCGATGAGTAAGACCATTGCACAGCGTAAACTTCGCCGTCGTGAGCATCCTTCGGTCGAGATAGAGACGAAAAAGACCATCTAAATACATTATCGAGTAGGACAGCTGACAAAGAACAGAGAATATTTTGATCTATAACCGTTCTTACTTGCAAAACATAGAAAAATAAATAGAAAACGCAGTTTTCACAAATTAATTGTTGCTAAACTCCTCAAATCGAATTCCGTACTAATGTCTGAGCAGAAAAAATAAGCTTCCAATGTTCGCCTATAACAATTTCGCTAACTACGGGGGTAGCTATTATACACCCGTACTAGATTTCAAGTCCAGCCATTCAGTTTAGAAATTCAACTATCATTCGAGTTGTCTCAACACAAGCACCCGCACCCATCCAAGTGAGAATGCAAATGCCCATATTTAAAGCGCTGCATCGAGTTAGCAGTTCTCACATTTGACTGCTTTCATCAATGCAAACTTGATGCTAGTATAAGCTGAATAGAGCTAATGTGCCTGAGTCCTTTTTCATATACGCCATACTTCGTACCGCATATGGACTTTATCGTCCGTCGTATAGCTATACTAGCCCAAAAATGACTTGTACGTACGAATTTCGTGATTAGTTGATTGGGTAGTGTCGAAAATGCACCAGGTGCTGGACCTTCCTCAAGGGCAACTGTCACCTCTTCTCTAGCTGCGTCCTGCAGCTGCTTTTGCATTTGCTTCTGTTTACGTTGCACAAACTTTTCATTCTCTTCGTTCATGATTTGCGCATGCTCCGCCTTCAATTTGATAAATCTGCAAGTGCACGTCATTTCTAATATGTCAACACAAGTTTGTGTTTCAACAACGTCTAAACAAATATTGAAAACCTAGATAAGTACTTTCACCGATCGAGTACTAGATAAGTATTCCATTTCCAATTTAGTGCACCAGGCACTAGAGCAAAACCGGCCGCTGGCTTTCACTGAATGTGCTTCAAAACGTTACTAGCATATTTCATTTGCTAAAGACTGACTATACGGATGCGTACTATCGTGCTGGTACACCCTAATTAAATCATGCCTGTAGCTTAGCAATAAAAATGATAGATTAGTGGACTTAGTAGCGTAATTATGTCAAATCAATGCTGACTACAAGCCACTTCTTGCATGGTTTCTTTTTCTCTACAGACAGCATTAGCCACAGTATTTAATAAGTTGATATATTTATGCTGGTTTGATGCTCATACAAAAATTCAAATAAAACAGACTAGTGATAGTGGGAAAGTTATTGAGTACACGAAGAAAAGTATAACGAGGACAGTTCGGCGAATTTGTTGCGACCTACTAGGCTTATCAACTATCTTTGTATCAAAAAAAACGGTATAGCCAATAAAGACCACCGGACAGTTGGTTCGACGCAGTCAGTCTGTGCACTTATAACGACTTCCCAGAGCAGCGCACGAAGCTTGCTACCATGGTTGGCACGAAAAGCTACTTCAAACAGTCGTATCGATTCAAATGTATCTCATTTTCTTGCTTAAACAATCGCAAATTTATAATTTCTGGTTGACTCTCTGGTTGAATCAGATAATGATTTTTGAGGTTTGTCTAGACTTGATGGACTTAACGGTTTTCAAAACGGAACGTCCTTATCAAAAAGTATTACCCCCAAAAAAAAAGACTAGGTAAAGAATACTGGCAAAAATAGGCAAATGACAGATAATAATAGAAGCATCCGTGAACTTTGCTTTGCATATTTCTTGACGTCGATTGATTTACCTCATTTATTTTATGGTTTCACACCCCGCTTAATATAGACCAGCAGAGCTGTAGTATACCCAATAGTTATTTCGTTACAGATATTGAGCTTAACTTCGCCTATTACACTTTTACAGCCATTTATCGGTCAAGCAACGGTGCTTGATCGGTGTTAGAAGAAGTCTAAGATGTGCTGTTTGTTCATTAGACACCGAAATCTTCACGGGCGTGCGGTCGCAGTTCTCGCGAGATCACGTCATATTAATTCTATTGACCCGTCGTTTCGTATCAATGACCGCGTCACTTGATAAAGTTTTTCTACTTTCTTGTCACAATCACTGATTACCCTAATGGAGTGATTCCGTTTTTGCTATTGGATTAGTCCCAATAATATCATTGCCCTTTCGAAAATCAATCGAATTCGCATTACACCTTCCTATGCGAAAAAGAAGCTCTACTTCTAGAAATAAGCGCTTATACAATTTGCACCATATGCTGGAATGGTTCACATTTCGCCAATTTTCGATAAGCATTACTACTTTAGCTCTTAATAAAAACAAACATAAAATTTTGCTAAAATCCAATGCTCTGCCTAATTTGTACACCTTGGATAAATAGACAAATCACCAAATAGATCCCTAAAAGAATCAAACCGGCTTAATTAGTTTTGCGTCTTAAGAGAGAAAAAAAACACCCCCTAGAACATTTTCTACTTATAACGTCGTATTTTTGAAAATAATCAAACTAGTTAGCGCTGTCTAGTGATTTCTGATCTATGTATTCCAAAATAAACGAGCAAAACCACAACGGGCGTAATTTATCAGTAGACAATCAGCATAATAGGAAGAGATATCACGTCGGCCACAGATGCTGAGCAATCCGTTTTCAACTGATACACAAACATTTTAGATTTTACAGCTACTACTAAACGACAAAGTATGCAGAAACTCGCCGGAGCTTTATGTGTTGATTGAAATATTGTTACTTGTCGTCTTGAGAGTTACTATGTCAACTTTGATTATAATCACTTTAAAAACTTGAAACGGCACAAGGTTTCATATGTAAATGGAATATCTAACATAAGAACTGCAATTTAAAAAAATGGCTGTACGAGTAAACTGATTAATCTCAAGTAGAAAAATCGGCAGAAAATAAACTTTTTTCTGCGACCGAGTCACACTTGTCCCTCAGCAACGAACGAGGCTCTACTGTTCTTTAGAAACACGTGTGCTCGATTCTGTACTTCGGTAAAAACGGATCACCAGACAGAATCCCTTCTGGCGAGAAAATCAACTGAACGGCACAACGATCCAGTATTACGGAAACATTAGAAACACAAGAAATTCGTGACACAACGAAGTGTCAAGGGCGAAACGCTAAATGACCGCACGGGTGATAAGTGCCGGCTCCTGTAACGAACCGTGTAGTTTTCGTTCCGATTTCAACATGCCTTCATATTATTACATCGTCTCTTACTGTCTTTTCCTCGAAATCTTATGTAGATGGTCGAATATTAGCTAGTGTAAATAAAGAGCACACAAAGTTAACGAATGCTGCGAACTCAAGGTAGGATGTCCATGAAACGCGCAGTCAACTTTATCGCTTATACTCCTGGTTAGCCAATATTGTTAATAAAAAAGATCATAAAAATTAGATAAACGATTTGACAAATAAATGCCCCCATATACAACATCACCACTTTTTTTAACAGTAATTTCTTTTATTATGACCGCTGAGTCGGTAGGCACGTCTATTATACCTATTTAATAGTTTAATCTGGAAACAGAAACAACAAACATAGTACAATCATGATAATAAAATCGATATATTGACATTTTTGTTAATGATGCTCTTCTCCGTGTTTTAATAAATTGTCATGGTGACCACGATGATGATGATAATTCCCATACTAAAAAAGAATGATAAACACGAAAATATACGGCAAGCAAAATTCACAAGGGGTTGCTTGTCACGCAATGCTTCGCTTCCTATCTGTGGATATGCGGTGGAGAAATACGAAGGGCCCCAGATAAAGCGAACGTATCGATGACAATGCCACAAAGTTCCAGTGACGAAAATTGTAGTTCGCTTTTGTCTTCCCGCTTGAGAATCCTATACCACTGTAGTGAACCACTGTGATCAAAAGTGAGCGTGTATTCGTTTTATGCATCTTATCTTAAATGACGAAATGTTTGTGCAGAGGGATAGTGAGTCAGTCTGTTTCAGTTAGAATCTATTTATATGTATATAAGTTACCCATTTCTGATTGGGATTTAATACGTAACTACTCAAATAGAATGTATAGACAGGACATAACTAAAGTTTATTTAATAAACTACATACAGCAAAGCTTACGACTCATCTACAATGAATTTAGCCTGTTTTCACTTGTAAATACAAAGAATCTCAATAATGATCTGCTAACAGAAAAACTGACGGACATCATATTAGGGTTTGTACCAAAACGGAAACGTACTTAAAAAGTACACCAAATGTACCTTTTAATTTGATTACATACAGAATGGTGCATTGAAATTATAGAAAACCTTAGCGGGCTGTTTGCCATAAAGACATATGTTCATCAGCTACTCCTGGTACCAGAACAAGCCTTTACAACAAAACAACAAACTTGTCATGGCATACAACAATATGTCGCCTTTCATATTTGAGCCAAAGTCGACTATGTGCAATATCTATGCGCTTAGCGAAACGGCTGCCGCAAAAAACGAAAAGCCGTATTCTAGTGCGGTACAACGGAAAATCAACGACAGGGAAAGAACGGTGTGGACTTAGAAGTGGGTCAACGTTGTCTAAAAATGCAGTCGACGATCCCTTTGTCCTCATCAGGGTATTAGCGAAGGAATTCGATGTAAATAGGTTAACAATGTTACGAAAACCTTAGATACTTATCATATATGCCAGAAGTCAGACGGATGCCTTCTAAGTAGAATACACCAAGAGATCTGATCGATGTCGTTTGCTGCCCGGTTTTCTCAAAAATGAAGCAACAGGTAGCCTTCGTTTTTTTCTGACAAGAACTTTTTTTATCTTCGACCCAAAAATCAACCGTAGAGGTGATCACTGAGCTGCTCACAAACCAGAGGTTGCCTATTGTGGATAAAGTAGATTTTCGACAGAAGTTCGGTTTTCGAGTGTAGTATTCAGAAGACGTCGAAAGTATTAAAAAAGATACCTATCTGCATGTTTTTACAAATTAATATGCGACCGTAGATAGCTGAAATGTATGTAGAAGGGCCGTCTTTCAGCCACATGGTGCACCGGCATATATCAGCCGATAAGTGCAGCTTTGATTGCTTGAAAATGCAGTTATATTTTAGAATGAACACTTATTATTACCGAGTATTCCAAATTGAAACTCGTTGGATTACTATGCACAAAGCTTTGTTGAAGCCAACAAAAGGCGTTGAGACATTTGAAGAAGAGAACCTTCACAACAAGTCTGTGAGCGGTTTAGGTCTCGAATTTTGGCTGTAATCGCACTGACAAACGGTTATACTGAATAAACATAACCGTCAAGAGTGACACTTCAGCGCGTAGAAAAGAATCACTAAAGCATCTGTTATTGTTTACGCATAGTTTGAGAGAAAGACCATGAGAAATATTCTTAATTTAAACGCGCTACTCTGTACAAGGTCCGGAGTTAGAACCCGCGGTTTCCGCATTTTTCACCCAAAGGTCTGGACTTCCCAGCCTCCGCGCTGATTAGAGCGTAAATAAGTAGTGTAGACTCAAATAGTGTATACCTATAGGCGAATAAGACAATGATCTAGCAGAATACTCACCCTTTTTCGTAGAAAAGACCCGAAATATCAAGAGGTATCGACACCGCACTCAATACGCAATCACAGGCACGCAGTGGGAATAGGCTTGAATGATCACCCAGTGTAATGATGATGAAATTATTCAAAATATCAAGATTTGCATAGATTCTAAAGCCGATCTTCAAATTTTTTTTATTGTTTAATGCCGAATCCATTGTAGCATGCTCGTACAGTTTGTAAAATCTGTTGAGTCCAAGTAGTAACTGTCTTTTCCCTAGTTAGTGTCAATTGCACAATTCGCACCTAAACAACCCATTGAAAAAATTGACAGTTTCGGCAATTGAAGTTCAACTCGCTTGCATTTGACAATGATTGACTGCTGCCTATATAACAGGATAAGTTAACCATTGACTAACGTCAAAACACATCGTGTAAAGTAACCTTAATCTTTTCCATTATTGGGTTACATTGACAGGCTTTTCGTCGGGAACTCAAATAGTACACAACGATAAAGGCAATCTTCTCCATATACAAGTACTACATAGTTATCTTTAAACGGTCACACATGCCTATTAATGCTAAGATATTAACACCATTAAAAGTACGGGGGTCTCATTGAAATGAGTCCCCCGAACTTTTATACTACGTACGACAGTAATTAACTGCCGAGTAGAGTGAATAGTAAACTTATCTAACTGAATACAGATACGTAGAAATAAATATGTTAGTCCTGATTAAAATTAATCAATCTTAACTCAATAGTATAGTAGCCAGCCTTACGTAAAAAAAATATATATATACACGTACCTTTGAACGAGTTCAATGTTTTCCTTTTCCATAGCATGATGCCTTCTCTCAAGGCTTTCGTAGGTCATGTGAAGCGCATCATGCTCGTCCCTCATCGTCTGATTGGATGCACGGAGACTTTGATTCTCTTCGCGAAGTTTTTTCAGCTCTTCGCTCATAGTATCAATTAAGTATTGCTGTTCGCGTAACTGAGATTCTGTCCACCAATTAAGTAATGAAAAGCTCAATTTAGTTCTGTGCACAAATACATATGGCTACTGCTCATTATAATATGTTGCGTGTACCGTGCGAGGTACTAGAAGTAGCTGCAAGCGTATCGCACTGATTATTTCTTTTTGTAAGTTTCTACAATTAGATTCTTTTATTAGGCTTGAGATACTGAAATGTGATGCTTACAATTTACCTTTAGATAAAAGTTCCTTATCTTTAGCCTCGTGCTGATTTCGAAGGTCGATAATTTGTTGAGCATGTTCACCTTTCTTTTTAAGTAGTTCTGTATGCTCTTCCTGAAGCTTGTACAGCTTCCTTTCTAATTCTAGAGCACTTCCGTCAGCACTAAAATTTAGTAATTAAATAAAGATTAAATAACTTTTATTTATTATTACCGTTACATGACCCAATAATCACCTGATAAAACGTCAGTGAAATTTTGTTTCACAGCTACGAATATATAGAGTGAAAAAGGTAGAGCCATTTAAGTAGTCTAAATATATTAGAACGCCTAGCGACGATACCGGATGTAGCACTCGAAATATAAGTGTAGACTAGAACCAACGGGCAGAATTACAAAGGCCTCAACTGCTAACGTTAAAAGATAAATTACACGAGTTACTTTTACTTATTCCGTCACGCTTTTCAGTTCCTGCAATCATTCATGAGTGTACATTTGTTAAGGTACTCACCTAGAGGGTGCCCGGCTACGAAGCTCATTATTCTCTTGGCGCAGACTCTCAAGTCTCACATTTAATTGTGTTATTTGCTCTCGTAAGACTTGAACTTGTTCCTGGTATCGGCCGGCTATAACCAAACAAAGAATGTAATGCTCCTGATTAATGTTTCCAACTTATGAAAGCGGCGTTATTCCAGTTTGCCATGTAATAATACATGCCAGTAAAAAAAAATCGGCAAATATTTTTAAACTGCTAACAAATAATATGACATGTCTGTACTTTATGGCACCGCCTTTTGCAACGTTAACAGCCACTATCCCTCAAGGCATGTCTCTGATGCAAATTTTCATCTCTTAAGCTAAGTGGATCCTATTATCAGTGTTCTTTAACGGAAATCTGAAACGTTTGTTGTTTCCTGTCCTTCCCAAACATGTGGTTCTACGACATTTTCGATGTTTTATACGACTGAAGTTGGCCGAATCAGCAGAGCACAACAGTACCTAACTGTCATTAGCACCAAGTAGCCCAGAGATACTCCGATATCCGTGACAAGACGCCCCATCATGCGCAGTCTCCGTCGAGGAACCGTTCTTGTACCTGAGACAAAAGCTTACTCTCAATAACTTCAGCATGTTCCTGCTGCTTTAGTATTCCCTATGCAAAATTATCTTCCCAAATCATAAACCATATCATACTTTGATGGATATTTAATTTTAGGCACGACGCGGTTTTTAAAAAATCGTTCGCCAGAACGTGTGAAAACATGATGGGCACTTTCCCAAGAATTTCGAAATGAGATTCGTCTATGAAACGAACTTTTTTTCCAGTTACCAAACGTTTGATTTCTTACTTGGTCTACACAACGAAGAAATGAATACCAAATAGAACGAGCTCGTTCTATTTGGTATTCATTTATTCAAACGCCTCTTTTGACGGCGAACCGTAATTTTCGACATCGCGAGGTCTCGGCCTTTTAATCTGCTTTAGAGGACATCACACAAGGCCACCATATCTTTTTAGAATTCATAAATAATTACAGGGTCCTTCCGCTACATAGGACGCCCCTTTCCCTTTTTTTTTTTTATCTATTTTGCACGACAACAAGCGGGGGTTTTCCCTCAACTTCTTCGCAATATTGGCTACTGCACACTAAGTAAAAAACATAAAACAGCAATCTTGTCTTATGTAAATTCGTTTTGACGAACTAGTCTACTAATCTGTGGTTGCTGCCTCTTAGAGATATCTGTTCCTTTTCCTATTTTGACACCTTTTACAAAATTGCCAAAAAACATCCGAACTAGTCAGGCCCACCTAAAAACTATTGCTTAGTTGTTCAGCGCTGACAATAGTCGCGTTAGACGGTGAGATTGGACGTGTCGGCTGTACGAAGTGCGAGACATTAGCCCAAAATATGAATGCTGGACTTGCAAAAACCCGATTACAGCAAGTCATCCCGTTTGCGATTACTCAAACAAGATAAGTCAGACGACATTGAAAATCGAGATTATTCGACTCTATTCGACTGAACACCGACTGTATGCATATATACTAAGCGATACGTCTCATAAGCTCACAGGTCATCAATTAAAGTAAGTGCCGAAAATTAAGTTAGATCGTGATCCAGGATGCAAGAAAAATTCTTTATATATTTTAAAAACTCGTACTTAACATTTTCTAAGCCACTGCTGAATGTTGGCTTTTACTTCAAGAAAGTCATATTGAAAACGTGCTGAGGATGAGCATGAAGTGATCCGGCGCAAGCTGTTCTCGCTTAACGAAATTACCACTATAATTTCTTTGGTCTCTGATATGTCGGCATATTCATCTAAGACTCTATTATCGACTCGAGATTTCCGGGGAAAAACTGACGAATTTTAACGAACAAGATTGCCGAAAGCCTTGTACTCTAGCAGAAATAGACCTTGTGTATGAAGAAATCCTTGTTTGGCTTTTGCTACGTCACCTAGTTCTATGTGCTTACCTAGGTACTCGGAGAGATTCAGTTTTTGGCAGGCATTTATAATATTCCAATAAGATAAATCGAACTGAAATGTGTTACTTGGCTTGATCGTGCCTAAGAATTGACAACGTTCCTTAGAGATATATATATTTTGATGATTCGATGATAAACAGCAGTAGAAGTATGGAGGAAATGAGTAAGCTTCCCCTCGACTATTGCAAATATCGTTATACCTCCTTTTATAGTAGCATTCTACTCAAACTGGTTTTCAACGCGTTCTTAGCAGTAAAAGTCTCCCCTACCTCTAAGAGATTTCCATTCTTCACAAAAAATGACGCTTAGTAAATAAATAATTTCCTATAATTAGTTCATGTAAGCTGAACATTATAATTTTTTCCCATATTTTATGAATTGGTGAATCTTTTTAGGAGAATCAAGCCGTATGGAAAATTAATGTATTGCTTATACTTTTACCATAAGCTATTCCCAATTAGAACGAAATGCAAATTAAAATAGTTTTTTTTTTTGTTTTAATACTGAAATATTGATTTTATTATAAAGTAAGGATCTTGGAATAATGTACAGAACAACACATCTGGTAAATGTCTGTCTTAGTTTTACTGGTACATTTGCGTTTATTTTAAGAAATCCTTTGTCACAGTTCTGCATAGTTTTTTAGATGTATCTCAGTGATACAGCGCTTAATCTCCTCCTTCAAATCTTAGGTAGTCGTTAACTTGTTGACATACATTTTGGACGTTAAAAACCTCAGTGAAATAGGCACAATGGCCTCAAATTCTACGATCTCTGCGGCTAACTATCATTGCCCAGGCGGAAAGTTACACGATCAGGGAATATGTCATGCATTAATGCCATTGTTTCGGATGGTATGTAACAAATAGAACCATCCTATAAGGATTACGTATGTTTTAAATTCATAACATAACACTGCGGTACCATGTCCTGATAACGGCCATGATTAACAGAATTTAATTACGCCTCTAGTCCGAAATTCGCATGAGAGAATAACACGCATGAAACGTATGTCGATTTTCATCTTTTCAAATGCGCCAGTTTTGTTTGTTTTCGAAAACATCAACAGAGGAAATGGGCCTCATTGCTAAAAGTAATTTTGTTGGAAACCTCACCCGTTCTTGTTGTTGTTCTTGGTGTTGTTGTTGTTCTGAAATGATCCAATCAGTGAATTCTCTTCGCTGTGCATGGTCTGGAAGCTCAAAGTGTTAGGTCAGCTTAACTTTGTGAGCATGAAGACGTAAATCTTTGGTAAAAGTATGCTATATAAAACTTTTCGAAATGTTGAGCATGACAGTGAATGAATGTTCCTGGACTCGTAGTCATATCTGGTTGACAGCCACAATATTTTCTGCTCAACATCGAGCGACAAACACGTGCCCATAGTTTGGCATAAGGAATTGACCCAGTTTTTTTTTTTCGAATCTACCGATTATTCTCTCTACACTTGAAACATTTCATCTACTGACATTAACGGATCCTGGCAATCAAAATTTTATTTACCGATTTTAGAATTCTGTTACTGCTAACCACTATTGCGACATTGCCGCGTTAAGTAAAGAATCAGTCATTGCGCTATCCGTTTTTAATAACAGTGCGCTGTCCCCACCTAATTGTCAGAACAAGTTGACTGTCCAACAACACCAGCAGAAATGGCGCGAAATATTAACTGTCCCCTATTATTGGGACACTATATAATATTATTTAAACCTGAGGTTTGTCTGATCTCGTTTTTCATACCTCGTTCACTCAAAATTTCTCGGCCGTGTATATTTTCACTCATATACTGCAACAAATTATCACAAATTTAAAATAAAAGTTGAAGTACGTTTACGGATGTCAAAAAAAAGGCAAAAAAAAAACAGAAATTTGAAACATTCTGATAGTGTGATCACAGGTTACTTATGCTAATTAGTAAAAACGGTTTTGTGCAGATTGAAAAAACACTACTTTTGCGAAAAAATCGTTTTTAAAATCTAAAATGCTTGAGCAGTCAAACACACGCATCATAAATAATCAGCGTATGTTGCCTCTATGAAGTACTTACTCGGCATATTGCCAATCTCTTATATTAGTAGGCATCTTATATGGAAGGTAGTTTCGCGATTTATACAAAGAGGTTCATACCATTTTTTGTCATGCATAAACTAGCAATCGTGACATCACAACATTTTTTCTCCGCCTGCACAATTGCTTCTCTATTTAGCCATGCATGTCCTCGACTGCGTACCAAAAACAGCTGTTTGTTGAAATAATTGCGCGGAATATAATGTGTGTTCTCGAGTATTATCTATTTAATCAAGTTATTAAACAAGATAACTCATGAATTACAATAATAGGCATTAAAATTGTAATACTTCCTCATGTTTGAGTAGCGACGCCACCTGTTTTGATGAGGCTAGTCGTCAGAAAGCAGTAGCTACATTGGTCTTACGAAAACTTTCACTTTGAGTCATGAGTGTACCAATATGAAATTGTCTGATCAACTAACAGCTTTGTTTCAGAATAACAAACCGTGCCTCGTATTAAAAAAGATATATAACAAACATTATATATTGTGTATATTTAAAAAAATATGATTCAAGTCAATGTCTTTGTTGTCACCTAATAGGCCCTGTTTTGGATTTAGATTCTAAAACGACTTCAGAGGTAAACTCTGGGCCGGACTGCTTTTTATTGCCTTGTTTTTGATGCCCAAAAATAATTTCGTGTTTTTTAAGCCCTGTTGTTTCCTAAGAAAATCCCTGATTATTACTATCTACCTTCGCTTCATTTAACATTGCCCCATAAAATTAGTTAGTCGTACAATTTATTATCGACTGTGAAAAGCTACATATTCAACTGGTATTTACCTGGGATATCCAAATAATATTCCATTAATCACCGGACAAATATTTACGTTTCAGTAACCATATTTGTCTTCTGTAGACGTTAGTATCAATAATAGTATCGAAGTAAATGTTATTGAAAAACCGTAGCATATTCAAAAGAATTACGCTAACATTATATTGCTCTATAATGTAAAATAGTGACAGTTAAAACTTGCAAACTAAAAAACCCGCATAGCACACTAGAAATAGCATAGTACTTTAGGCTTTTAAAAAAATGAAAGAATCACTGACTTGTTCTGACAATCTCCTCAAACACTCCTTTCTCCTTACGATTGCGTTCGTCAAGTTCCTCGTTTATTTTGTACAGCCACGGCTGTTCCATCGTTTCCGACCTTAACAAGTTATTTATATTACTAATAATACACTATGAATTTCACTTGCTCAAGGCACAGCATCAACCCAAGGCTTATTCACGAGCATTCGCACAGCCGAAGCTGCCGTTTGTCTATCAATGTCTACCCATTAGAACAAGCACACTGTTATATCCACTGACTATAACTGCTACTACGTCCCAGTGTCAGCGCCACTGGGATCTATTGAGGGAAAAAATTGGTGATCGTTACTCAGATTCGAACCCCGCCTAGGATTAGTGCAGAGAATTACCCGGAAGTGATGAAATTGGGACGTCGTGTAACAGTTGGTTTTGATAGACGTCCAGCATTACCTCGCAACAGCGTATTGTTTTTTTTCATTTAACTGATCCACGGTTCGTTCAGTAAGTATATATCTGCTCGTTACTTAATTAAATCATTGTAATGCAGAGAATTGGATCGCAGCTTCCGAGCGATAGAAGCAGTATCGATTCAACTATTATGGTCGTCCCACCGAAGTCTGCTCGGAAGGTGAATATAAACATAAACACTACACCCTTTCCTGTCAAATTCACCTCCATGGTACTGTTAGACGCAAGCAGTTTTGAGTAGTATAGGTAAATGATGCCGAAATCATCCATTTTAAGACTTTAGTTCTTTTAATAATGCTGTGAAGATTCTTCCCATATCCAGAGCCAATCATTAGGAACTGTAGGACAATTGTTTATTCTCTAGGCCCGGGGTTAACAACGCGCGAAACCGTTATAATTTAAATTTAGATCGCATCTATTGCCTACAGTCATATTCGTTAAAATAAACGAATGCCTGACCGTTCTATATATTGGCTTCCCTATATTGTTCAATATAATCATTATATGGACCAATATAATTGCTACTAAGCAGTTTGTTCTCGACAGATACTTCGCTATATATCTGAAATCTTTTCTTTATGTTTCAATGTGGTACATTTTATCTGGCACTCGAGACGTAATCGTACAAATAGTAAAAGGACGGTTAAATAGCAGACGATACGCGCCAAAATAAAAAGTTAAGGAAAAGAAATTACGGACGTTCATCGAGATCAGTTTCAAGGAACAATTGCATAGGGCCTAATGAATGTTAGACATATGAGAAGGCGAAAGAATTAGGGATTGCAACCCAACTCAAAGGTAATCTAGAGTAAAATATAGCCATGTTTAACCCAATGGCACCGCCGGACTCGAAACATTTATCTAATCAGAAATTACTGTTGCTATATTAAATTTTACGCTGAAAGCACGTCTATTCACAAATATCTTATTCATTCATTTATTATCACCGTCATTGCCTAAAGTAAACTTTTTCGATGTTTACAACCGTTTTAGTTGACGCGTTATGAGAATAAGTTTAATTTGGGGCTTATTTAAGTTCGGCAAAAATACATCTCGCTTACAAAAAACTTAGCTTTCTTTCAAATGGATATAAATAAATGGAACTAATAGATTCACAAAAGTGAACACTGGCCAGCAATATACTCTTATATTCATTTAAGACGTACTCATCACTGATTTTTCGCTTCATCATGTAGAGTGCGGTAACAATATGTGTGGAAATCGAGCAGCACGTCCGGTTTACTAGTATCCCCTATGCTGACAGGGCTTTCGCGTAGAATATTTAACCTTGATTACGCGATTATATACATTATAGCCTTATGTTTGAATAAATGCATACAAGTTCGAAAAAAATATAGAGAGTACCTTGTTTTATTAGTTTTGTCATGTTGTACATTCATATGAAACAGCACTTACGAAAATGAACATATATGTTATTATAATGAACAAACGATTTAATTTGTCGGAGACCTAGAGATCTCAGCTTTGTCATTTTACTATAGACGAGGGAATAAAATCATGGGTTCGCGCGGATGCAAATGCTTCACAAAGCCAACCTAGAATGGGCACAGCTAAGCTCATTATCCTTGAACAAGGAAACGACCTTGTTCTAGACAGCTTGATCTTTATTTTTTAGTAAAAATATTTTCTAAAAGGTGTTTTAGTTTTACTTTCTGATGCTGAATCTCGCTTTTAGATAAATCATTGGCCATATCTCTACTCAATCATGCTTCGAGAGAAAAGAACTTGAAGACAAGTGGTTATTCTTAAAAGATGTCGAGATGTGGGACGAGGTAGACTGGCCGTATCCAAGCCGATGAAGAAAGCGCGTCTTGTCAAGGCAGCAAAATTAACCTATCCTGTAAAATAGCCAGTTTCCTTCGCCTTAGTTTGGTGACGTAGGATAGAGCTTTTTAAGACTGTGAATACTTGTAGATTGCGTTAAATTATCTTAAACTGAATTTAGGATGTTCGATTTATGTACGCAATTAGTTTTTTTTTAAAATTTCAACATATACTCTAGTATAAACACACGAATAGCGCAACGTGATTTTACGAAAAAAACTCAATTAAATATGTCACTGGAGCTCCGTCAGTAGTAAGTTGAGCTAAATCATAAGTTATTACTATTTAAAACTGAACATTCGAGCACAACGCTGATCTCAAAGCATATTGGTAAAGTTACTGAATTTGGTACGATATTCTAATATTAGCAGTATCTGCTCAGTGGATCAATCTTCTGATTGGAAAAAAACAAAAGAAAAGCGCGCTTCGACCTGTTCCATTACCATCAGTTACTCGCGATCGAGTAAGTGCTTCTGCTTTTGAACGCTTCAGTTGCACAGTATGCAGAAACTGTGTTATGGTCTAACCGGTTACTTTGCACAAAATTCAGTGCATCGCGCTTGCTACGCGAATATGGTTAAACGTTCAAAGGTGGTTATAAGACTTGCCTATACGATCACACGTATTGATTTCAATCAAAGTAATGATTGAGTGTTTGCTCTCTCTCTCTCTTAACCCTATAATAACAATAATGAAAGCAATAATCGATGATAATGGCAAAAAGATCTAAGTGAATTAGGAAAAAACTAACTTTAGCTCGGCGATATACGATAGATAGCTATTAATGCAAGTATAACATCGATGCCACATTACCATACCGACTATAATGTTGTAAGAATTATAGAAATTCTTTAAAAAGTATTGGTCCTTAAATATTACTACTGGTCTCTGATTTTGATCGGTGTAAGGAAAATCTTATTCGTAGAACTTTTACTTAACGTGTGATGTCGCAACAAAGTTGCCATATTATACGTTAAGTGTAAGTTGTGCGTTATCACCATTGATCGTGTTTGATTGAGCAAGAATGCCTCTTTTGCTGTTGTCGCATACTGTGTGGTCGCGTCGTTGTTGACGGCGAAGAAGCTATTGATTCAGCTAAGTAGTTGCTAATTCAACCGAAGCTTCCTGATGCCATACATGCAGTGACTGAAAGACTGGACATTCCTACAAAATGTCGCGAACCTGTCAAGGAATCATTCAATTCGACAGAATTAAACATTACTCTAAAAGCTTTCAGGAATGAAAAATATGAATTCGAACAAAGACAAGGATGCTCTGAAAACCTCTGTGGCATCGCAAAGCATGATGGGCCTAGTCAAAGGTTTAACTCCTTTTCTATATATCAGCATATCTTTTTTTTTGGTGAATCGACTTAATATATTACATACGTATACATTAGCAATAAGCAATCTAGGTACATGGTTAGCAAAGTTAATACATAATAAATATGTTACGTAACTACCACACTGGCATCCTCGTCCACTGGTAATAGAAAAAATCGTTTATAAAAATATTTCAATGAAATAGGTATATTACTCTCATTTTGTTATTTTAATTTGCGGAGTAGCATTGTAAGTCATAGGCAAGAAAATAAATCTGTAATGCGGATAACTGGGGATTTACCCGAAATAAAGATCTGCTAAAAAATTAACTCTCTGGTAGTTGTCTATATACCAATTGGGATCTCATTCATAAAATATTATTGCTAGAGTAGAACATCTCCTCCCAGCCTTGTGATTCAATTTGTTTATTATGTTCAATGGTAAACTGGCTGAAAAATTTCGTTGAAAAATCGTAAGCGATTTACAGTAGTTGTGATTATAAATCTAACGTAGTGGAGAAGCATTCCATCGTTTGCTTGCGTATTTAACAGACATTATATTATAAATCGAACCCTGAACAATTTTCTTTTTTGACCTTATAGGTTCTGCTTGAAAAAACTAAACTTTAAAGCTGCCGAGGAGAAGATTCTCAATAATGCAAAGTATGCACAGATAGTCCAAAGGATGAATACGCAACTACACCAAAGGCGATAACGTCGATAAATACTCGCAGTTCCTCACGGAGTGGGGTATTTTCTGAGACAGGCTATCTTTAAGATTAACTTATATTCATCTTAGTTTTCCTGCCTCTCAAACATGGAAAAACATTGACTGTAGACGTTCCCATAGCGACATAATCTTAGGGTAGACTATCATCAATGATAAGGTGAGTCACGGTGTTCCCCTTTATCGATAGATCCAGTTACAATCAACAACACTTAAACATTTAAATATGACTTTATATCGGTTCTGAAATTACCTCTTCCTGTATTGAAATTTCCTGAATCAATTCATAATAAGATACACAAGTGCAGCAACTTTCGAAGCGTATCTAATCTTAATTAGTGTTAATTAACTTATATGTTTATCAAAATCGTAATAAGTCTTATTCATCGTCACATTGCTCAGATATTTTATATGGAAATGTTCTGTACTACAGCCTTTGTAATGTATATTACCTATGCATTACATACATGAGTATATCATGTGAATGCCTTTACTTACGACTGAGTCCGCCTATTTGAGCGCTTACTGTTCAATCTAATTATTCTACGGGTTACTATATGTCTAACGATGGTGAGCGTATTACTCACATTGAATAAACAAAATGAAAAGAAACTGTATGGAACGTATGAGAAGTATTTAAATTGTCACTTTATTCTGTTTCAATTAATTTATCATCATACATGCACGCATACTGTACTTAGTATCGAAGTTCATTTTTCCATAAATACAATTGCGTTTATTTACTTATATAATTTGCCATCTTCATTATATGTGTGTGTTTAAGTAGCTTCTAAATTCCGCATAGTTCTGGGTTAGCATGGGCAAATTACATAAAATAAGAAAAGCATGATTTTTATGCAATTACAATATTTCGTATAATATTATAGTGACCTACACGAATATCGATGAAATTGCTATGTTTAGCTTTGGTTGTCCTGACATGCACAGACTTTTGTTGTTTTATATTGAACATTTTTTTCATTCAGCTATGGAACGTTGGGTTCGAACAGTCGTAACGCTGGCGCCTGAATCACTGCAGCGGTTGTTGTGAAGATTTATATCGATCTTGACATCACGTGTGCGTCAAGAGTGGAAGGAAATCGTGTCATAAATCCCGTAAACAAATGAAGCTCAATATAGAGCACTCCTAAGTATAAATAATATGCAATAGAGCGAAACTGATGGCAAGCCAATACATACCGCCGCATTTAATTACTAATTATTATTATTAATTTAGTAATTTAAGAACAACTCATAAATTGACGAGCGCCGAAAAATGAAATCAATCTGAGGGCAACGGTGCCTCTCATAACATGTAAATGTCACGTATAGGCTTATCTGGTAAGCTGTAAGAAAACCTAAGGCCAATGCATGCCATCCATTATTATTTTTTTAGCTGGCTTGAGTTACACTGATCTACTATAGATTTAGTTTTTCTTCGTCCATCATTCCCCCTTTCAAAACTTACGGTCAGATTGCATGAAGTTTAAAATGTCGTTTATTGGTTTTCATTGAACTTCCACCGCAGACTCCATAGAGTAGTGCCCGGCTTCTAATATGTGATATTTCTAGATTGGCATTGGCTAAATATTTTCGCCGAAAACAAATTTCTTGGTATTTTTTAATGTTTTTATTTCAGGCACTCCACGTTATTAATGGCGGCTACCATTTTGTTAGTTCGGCGGATGCAAACCCTTTGTGTGTCATTTTAAGTCTAGAACAATTGGTTTCATGTCCAAAATAATAGATATGCAAAGATGTGTCAAGTATAAATTAGTTTTAATTTGGAACTCTGTTTTAATTTCAGATATCAAATCGTTGTCACTATATACTTTATTTACCCATATTAGTATAAATGATCTAATACGATATATTATTCAATACAATATTCAATTTCTTCTTACTTGTGGATTAAGCAAACAACGCCTTCGTGCTTCAAAGTATTCACTTGCTTGAATTATGCTGAGCCCTGATTCGGCTACTACACGCTAATTAGAACAAAAAATATATATACGGGGCACATTTTCCCTTTTATTGACATTCTAGACGTTTCACGAACGACATTTAATAGAAAATCTCAATATCACTTGATATAGGTTTCCCAGCAGCAAAGCGTGAGACTATACTAGCTCGGCGTGACATGAAAGGCAAAAATGTGATAATCTTTTTAAGAAAAGCAAAACTCTTAACAACTCGTCTGTTCCCAACTTGAAAGAAGGGATTTTCCATGAGGTTGTGCTGCAGGGCCATATACGCACTTCAGCTCATGAACGAGTCGATACTAGGACGCAGTGTGAGCGATCATAAAATATTCAACGCCGCTTTTTCTTATTGCTACTACTGCTGTCTCCTGAGTGTTTTGCGCCTTTTGAGCGGGGTGGCGGAGTAGGCCCGCCTTTGCTACCTCCCTGCCCAGATGCCGCTGATTCGTCTTCTGGGTCTTCTTTGGCAGGTAGCCAAATGGCAGCAGCTATGCAAACAGCCTGGAAAATTGCACCTGAAAGTTGACCGTATTGAATTATGTAATGTTACGTGTACGGTTTTCCTCCATAATTAAAAATTGGTAAATGATGAAAATAATGACTGGATATTTCCTGGAAATGATCAATGGTGATTAAAAACTTAAATACTTAATAAGAAGTTGATAACTATTGTCCCATTGTACAAGAGGTCATAGCGCGTATTGTTGTTATTGAAAAGCTTATTGTACCCCTTTCAAATCTCCTTCATTTGTAGTGTGGTTTCAAATAAAGATCGAGTTGTCTCATCATCAGAGATCAGCCGCTACACAATCTGTGTAGCTCACTGTAGGCTAAAACCATTAATGTTTTCAGCCTTTCGATGTATAAACCTTGGTCATACCAATGTTTTCTTAAAGTTATTATTATTCCTTAATCAGCTATTTAACTATTAATTTTCTAAACATAGCTGGATAAAAAGCTGTCGTATGAGGGTAGCTTATTAGCAATGCCAGAATGTACGCTTGCTATGTGCCATAGACGGCATCCTTAGGACCACTTTAATTACTTACGTCGGTTCCTGAACGGACTGTACTTCGGTCCAAGTATCGAATGCGTACAACTTCATTTTATACAAATGAAATGGTTTATCAAAGATTGTGTCGAAATTCTTGCGACATTAGTGTGTTTGTGATCTGCGGCATTGAAACGCGTATTACAAATATATTGGATTGTCGAAAAACTAGTGACTGAAAATTAAGGCATTTTTTATATTTTTAAAATTAAACTCAGTATGCGCCATTTTAATCGATGACCTTACGCATTTTTTGGTAACACTATAATTCCACTACTGTAGAACTTATATTAATATATCTGAGAGAAAAATTGTGACAAAGTGATTTTAGCGTCTACCCATTGAAACTAAGTGATCATCATTAGGGGAATCCTGCAGAGACTAAGATAGGTAATAATAGTCCGATGGTGCATGATCTGAGTTACACGGTAGATGCACTGAAATTTCGCAACTCAAAAAAAGAACTTTTTCCACCTTTGTCTCATAGCTAAAGGTATATGCGGAAGACGTCACCTTTTTTATTCGCTAGTTCCAAATGATTTTTCTAAGAGTTCCTCATAATCTCGTTAGTTGGTGACAGTAGAGGCCAGACTTAATCGTTTTGCCAGGCAGCATCAACTCACAATGCATGGTTCTTTTCCAATCACACTAAATAGGCAGCATCGTTTTCTCTGGCTTAAAACTGTTTAATGGCAGATGTTTAGATCCCTGACCATATAATAGCTACTCACGTACCGGTCTTGTTTCATTTAATCAACAACTCTGTCAAATTGTTATTAATCGATCAGTACGAAGGACATATTTCATACTGAAATTCCCAGAACGAAAGCGACAGAACTATCCTTGAGCAAGTTCTTCCGATAATGCACCTTGACTACACACAGCACACATTTTCCACAGGCCTAACCAGAATTTGTGTCTTTATCGCAATAAGATTATAATATATACAGCGAATTTCCCAGGAATTTAATCACCCAGGCGTTCTGTATTACGACTAAAAACCGATTTATATATTTGTATACATACATATAGATTTATATATTTAATTTATATACTCCCCAATCTCAGCTTTCAAATGACACCGACGCCGACGGTGCAACTCGTAAACTCGTAAACTTAATTATCTAAGTGATTTAGATAAAAAAAAAAATGGTTAGTACCTATTGAAACCTAATAATCAAATTAGTTACCTCATTATGAATTATTTTGCAGAAAATCATATTTTATCCAGCCCAGAAAATTATTTACGAAAGTCTGAAAACTAATGAGCTTCAGCTGGAGATCCAATCCCCAGTTATGAGCTCGTCGATGTATGATGGCCTTGGCTAGCTTACTTCCCTACGTTAACTCGCTGTGTCGTTATGTGTAACGTGACTTTCGCAATCACATTTATGTGCAGCTCACATAATCTGTTGCTCAATAAAAATAGCTGTTTTAATCATCTCATACATGTTCACGGTTGACTTAATTTAAATCAAAAGTAACTAAAAATGCTTGTACAGTCTAACATCTTATAAAGTAGTTTTCTATTCGTGGTCATATCTGAAAGATGTTTAATTTCTTACAAATTTACACTAGCATGAATGCTACACGAAACTATAGCTGTTGGAAACGTTAACAAACATGTAAAAAGAAATTGAGAACTAACGATTTAAAATTAATTGTCAACATACAGTATGCTATTTTAAGTATGCCATTTTTTTTCTAAATAGTAAGTTTTGTAAAGTAACTGATTCTCTACTCTAAAACAAATTACTTATTACTACGTCATTATTTTAAATCAAGCACTAGATATGCGACAGTCTTAATCGGCTAAAGACAGTTATTATGTACCATAGTTAATAATAATAATAAGTTATTAATAATAAGAACATAAGTAATAAGTCAAATGTTCTAAATAATCTAGTCCTGGCTGGATTTGTTCACTAACCGAAAAATAGTCCATAGCGTAAAACTTCGTCGATGATGTACTCCGACGTCGACAAAGGCTCCAACAAATCGGCCATCCTACTTGCTGCGATTCGTAACTTTTATCTCCTATATTATACAGCTTATTTACACCTCATAAATCTCCCGGTTTCAATAAGTTATCCGGACCGAACTATTAGCTGATTTCAGCACAACCTTGACTGATCTGGAGGAAACCTATTAACAACAACACCATCACCTTGATTTCCTTTTATGGTGTTTTTCGAGAAACAGCTGTTCGGTGACTTTCGTCGCCGCTCAGGCTCGTTCGGAGACGCGGCATAATCTAGAATGCCGTTGCTACGCTTTGTGATGATGGAACGATACGATTAATATGCTTTTTACCTGAATACGTATGTTTTGATGTCAAGTAGCCGCATTTACACCCAAAGCGTGCTGACCTCGGGTATTATCGACAGGAGTAATTCGAAGCGTGTACTTAAACTCAGTCGTCAGAGATCAGGCGACGCTGGATTGTCATTTCGCGCACGAAAACAACCTGTCCTATATCGAGTAAAAGATAGAGTCCGCAACGGTGTTTACAGACCGCCTCACAGATACGAACCAGCAACTAGTGCCATTGCCCAAACATTTTTTTTATTCGTCAATATGATTTTGCATTTTGTGGGATCACGGATGTACTCTACTATTTAGTATGGAGAGAATGCTAACTGCACAACATGACAAGCAGCCTTTATCTACTGAACAGCAAGCTGTCAACGTTTTGACACGTTGCTTGCAGGGAGCTTATTGCAGATACCAGAGTCAGCTTACCGGTGAATGACAAGAGAACGTCTGCTGGGTGAGTGCCAACAAATCACTAGTGGTGATGTGAATTGCGGGACAGAGAGTGCTGGTAGCGCAGCAATTATCGAGTCGACTAGGTTGCGTCCGGTTTTACCGGATTTTAGGTACCGAAGGAGTAGAATAGCTGTGTGTCATTTCGGGCTACGAAGAGTCCGTACCCCCAGTTAAGATGCTGGACGTGGGCTCAAAATACGTCGGCTCGAAGTATGTCGGAGCGGCGTCACTTTTACGTTTTTGTGTGCTGGTAATGGCATGTATAGTGGGCTTCGCCTCCCGATTATTCGCCGTCATTCGCTTCGAGTCGATTATCCACGAATTCGATCCGTGGTTCAACTATCGTGCGACGCATTATATGGTCCAGCATGGATTTTATAAATTCCTCAACTGGTTCGACGAACGTGCGTGGTACCCGCTTGGCAGGATTGTCGGTGGAACGGTGTATCCCGGGCTGATGCTGACCTCGGGTCTGATTCATTACGTACTCTCGTTACTTAACATTCCTGTTCACATTCGGGACATCTGTGTGTTTCTGGCGCCGATCTTTAGTGGTCTCACCGCCTTGGCCACATATTTTCTCACTAAGGAGCTGTGGGACGAAGCTGCCGGACTCTTCGCTGCGTGCTTCATTGCAATTGTACCCGGCTATATCTCACGTTCGGTGGCCGGTTCTTACGATAATGAAGGTATTGCTATCTTCGCTTTGATGTTCACCTACTACCTGTGGATTAGGTCAGTAAAAACCGGCGGTATCCTGTGGTCAATGATGACAGCATTATCATATTTCTACATGGTGTCCGCATGGGGCGGGTACGTGTTTATCATCAACCTCATTCCTCTTCACGTGTTCACGCTGTTGCTGATGAATCGTTTCTCGCAGCGTATTTACGTAGCCTATACGACATTCTTTATTATGGGGCTGCTATTCTCAATGCAAGTCCCCTTTGTCGGCTTCCAGCCGGTGCGTACATCGGAGCACATGGCATCGATCGGAGTGTTTGGCCTATTGAACGCTGTCGCCTTTCTTAAGTACCTGCAGGGTTACTTCAGCAACCGCGAAATGAAAGCTCTCATCATCGGCTCTATCGTTATCCTTACCTTTGGAGGCCTTATGCTTGTCAGTTTACTTACATGGGCTGGCTATGTTGCCCCCTGGTCGGGTCGTTTCTATTCACTGTGGGATACCGGTTACGCCAAGATTCATATACCCATCATTGCGTCTGTTTCTGAACACCAACCGACAACGTGGTTCTCTTTCTTTTTTGATCTTCACGTACTCGTCGCAGTGTTTCCAGTCGGCCTCTGGTACTGCGTGAAATATACAAATGACGAACGGGTCTTCATTGTTCTATATGCGGTCACGGCAGTCTATTTTGCTGGAGTAATGGTCCGTCTCATGCTGACGCTAACGCCGTGCGTCTGTGTGCTTGCCGCTATTGCGTTTTCGCACACGTTTAAGCTCTACCTCGTAGAAGATGATATGGTGGGACAAACAAATATTGGATCCTCTTCCACACCCGACAAGAACTCGTCGGGAGACAAGAAGAAGCTTAAAGCGTTTCGCAAGAGGGACTTGTCGGGCGCTTCTGATGTGCCTTCGCCCAGCTCACCGTTAGGCACTAATAAGCGAATGTTTGTCGTGCTAGCCTTGCTTATGGTGCTTATGCTCTTCGCCGTACATTGCACGTGGGTCACAAGTAACGCCTACTCGTCGCCATCGATTGTGCTTTCTTCGTATTCAGGCGATGGCACTCGTGTTATTTTGGACGATTTCCGTGAAGCCTATTACTGGCTGGCGCAGAATACTCGCGATGAGGCCCGAGTCATGAGCTGGTGGGACTACGGTTATCAGATAGCAGGGATGGCGAATCGGACAACATTAGTAGATAACAACACTTGGAACAATTCGCACATCGCTTTGGTTGGAAAGGCCATGTCTTCGAACGAGAGCGCAGCCTACGAGATTATGAAGGAGCTTGATGTCGACTATGTGCTCGTCATCTTCGGCGGCGTAATTGGTTATTCAGGTGACGATATTAACAAATTCCTTTGGATGGTGCGTATTGCCGGCGGGGAACATCCTCAAGAGATTCGTGAATCAGACTATTTCAATGCCAAAAGTGAATTCCGAGTCGATACGGAAGGATCTCCAACCCTCCTCAACTGCCTTATGTACAAGCTGTCATACTTCCGATTCGGCGAAATGCAGCTCGATCGGCGAGCTCCGGCCGGTTACGATAGAACGCGTAACACGGAAATCGGCAACAAGGACATTCGGTTGGAGCATTTAGAAGAGGCTTACACAACTGAACATTGGCTTGTACGAATCTACAGAGTAAAAAAGGAAGCCAATAGGCCACGGGTGCCCTATGCACAACGGGTGGCCCGTCCTAAAAATGTCTACGTTTCGAGGAAGACGTCCTGGAGAAGGACAGGTTCCATCAAAGATAAATCGGGTGAAAAAGTTTAAGCAAGTAAAACATGTTAATAGAGAGTAGCCCATACGATACACACAGATGTCGCCCATAGTTCAACACAGACACTCATTATAAACAAACAGCAGAAATACCTACATTTTTATATACCACAAGAACACAGAGAACATATATAAACACTAACATAAAAAGTACGCGTGAGGTACAAGTGAAAAGTACTTGTGCATCCGAATATTGTTAGATAAAAAAAACATCTCATTTATGTAATTTTTAAGACTAAATTATATGTATACCATTTCATTAAAAAAATGTGTGTAAAAGAAACAGCTTGTCTTGTTTAGAGGAATCATCAATTGGGGCATTTACCATAATGGAAAAATGGGTGCCATTTATAAACCTAAGCTAATACTGAATTTTGGGATAGATGTGTTATGATATGTGAGTAGTGCTTGCTCGTTGCCTTTGAACAATAAAAATCGTTTCAAGGTCAACTGCAGAGAAAACTTAAACTATCGAGGACAGTCTAGATAAGGCGTTTTCTGACGAAGCTGCTTAGACGAATCTATTAACATTTTTCGAATTACAAATTTTCGCAAGCCAGAATATTTTGTTGGAACATTAGTTTTTAGTTTGGTTATGTGGTTGATCATGAAAGTGAAATATAATTATTTGGTACGATGGCTTGGAATGTGGCACTTGGGTCGCGGCTTAAGCCCTATTATGGACATCATGTGCTATTCATTAGAAAAATTTACACTTGTCGCGTTACTAGTCGTTAACTAATCGTAGTTAAAGCGATAAGCAAATAGGTAAGCAAGTACGGGGAAAAGATAAGACTTAACAGATGATGAAATGCCTTAGCCAGTACTGAAATGTCACCCTGCTGGAATATTGATGAAGTTAGTTTTTCATACTCAAATTCATTTTATATTACCATCAGTGCTAAATGTAGTGAAAGAAACCTGAAAATAGCAGTCTCATAACTGCAGCCGATGCTTTCCCTAGGTAGAACTCCCTCTATTAACTTAGTAAGGGAAGACGGGACGGCAACGATAATACATAATATGACAAACAAATATCTATCGAAGGTAGAAGAAATGCTACTCTATTATTATTTTACATTAGTTATCTGCAGACACATATTTAATGTGTTTGTAGATAACTAACGTAAAATAATAATTATTAGTGAATTATCTTTAATATTTGTGACAAAACCAATGGTTATCGTGCAAGATCGTTGTTACAGATTTATCAGGATTTACTCAACACTCCGCCTGTGTGGGTCCTAATTGACTGATGCCAACGTATTTTGTATAATATATAACCGTACGTATGTTCAGTATTCTAATGCGCTATAGTATATACTGATAGGCTCCAAGATACTGGAATTTTACTGATCTTTAATTCGCTTTATGAATGCGAAATAACTATAATAGCGCCAGTAATATATACATTAGTTTCGTTTTAAGAACATACTTGGCCATTTTTTAGAAAGCCTACAATTTTTCCGGCTTTTTTTACTAGGCGTATATGTAGGTAAATGTAATCTAGCACTCAGCTGCGTCGAATGCCGCTTATGTTTAATAGACGTATGTAAGTCGTACCTAAGCGGCAGAGGCAATTCTTAACAGGGAAGCTAGGGTTAATTGATAATTTAGGGTTGGATAAGCCCCCCCCGCCCCCCTCATTGATATTAAAGATATCTTATGGTTGGGCACACACTTTGTTTCGTGCTGGGAGCCAGCCGTCTGATGGAATACCGGACGTAAAACTACAGAAGGCTCAACAAGCCAATAAATTGTGATACATTTGTGTTAAATAGACCCAGATTTATGTGTTTAGTACTGTTGTTATTAATGGGGCGAAGGTGCCACAGCGGTAAAATTTAAGTAACCCACCTTTTACGAAAGACGTGTTGATCAATGTTTGATTTAAAAAATGATCAAAATATGTAAATAGTATATATGTGATACATGCAATGCGCTTCCTTTTCCATTTTCGCGAACAGACAATTATTTCTTACTGAACCTTACAATACTCGGCTTTCTTTATTATTCGAATGAAGAAATTGGTCAAACTAAGATGACCACAAGTAAGTTCTAAAGGAAAATGCTGCCCCTACTCTAAAACATGAAAAATAATGAAAGCACCGATATATTGTTAAACATTTCAGCCTAAAAGCAACAAAAATCATAGAAACGGGATAGAGTGTTGTAAAAACATAATTATATCAAGAGTTGATGCCATCGTAAATGTGAGAATCAATCGAATATATCAAAAAACGAATTATTTTTTTGAGTTGCGCTTGATCCATTGAGATAACTCCTGAGCTAATACATCTGAGCTAACCTACATTCTTAGTGTCCTTTTGTTATTAACTTGCTAGGTAATACTTGAAATAGACGTTTGTTTGACCTCTCCAAAAATATGCAAAAAGTAATCGACTGACATGGGATACAAGGTTTTAATTTGCAATGAGAGAAAATAGGTTTTTCTACAAATGCGCACTTTTCCTTGTTTTATATATTATAACAATTTTACTAAGAATAAGCAATAATGGCAGGTTTACATTACATCATAATAATAGTAATAATGCCGATAATAGCAGGTCTCCAGTGTAATCTAGTGAATGAGCTATAAACGTAAAACAGATTTTATTCCGATCTCTGTTTCACAAGTTGTTGGCCAATGATCCTGTTCGATCCATTTAGTATGAAAAGGCTCTTTTTAATGATACTGTAGAAATAAGAGATCTAACATTACCTAGAAAGGTACACATGTGCATTTTACGTGTAATTTCAAGTCTTTTCGTTGAGAGCTTATTATTGCTCTGCACATCATAACACAGAGTCAGCTTTATTCAAGCCACAAAGCCTGTTACGTATTTCATACCTAATATCAAACACATCCGTCGTATAAGCTTCGGAAAACAACTTTGTATTCCTGCGGAGGAGTCGACCTTCTGCGAACGGCTCGAACGCGTGCAGCGGCGACGTTGTTATACTAAGCAGTGTGCAAATGAGCACAAAATATTCCATGTATGGTGCACATTGATTTTTGTAGTAAAACGACAATTACTTCTGACTAAGAATTGACCAGTCAGCTGAAAGAGCCAAAGTAACACACATCACTCCTAAACAAAAAGGTGTAATCAGTCAGTTAATACCGATTTGTGTTTTGGGTTGTCAGCGGCGCTTAAGAATGTCAACTGAGTCTACGAAGACGCTGGGAGAAACTGTGGATACGCTAACTTTGAACTTCGAAGAACTTGAAATTAAGCATAAAAAAGAACGTAAGGACCTTCAAGCAAGCATAATGCAACTTAAAAAAGCAGTGCCAAAGGTAACTACAATAACTATAGCTACAATGATATGCATATCTTACAAAATAATCATGCATCCTCTTGACCACACTTTTCTATTTTAATAAGTCATTTGGGGCATATTTTTACTAAACTTTCGCACTTTTCTACTCTGCGTCATATAAGGCTTCCATTTCGGCAAACAAAATAGCGGAGATCACGGAGAGCAAGCGTTGAGTTTGTCGATTTCTACTCGACGCTCCTTAGATTTTCGAGTTCTGAGAATTTAATTTAAAGATTAAATTTTAATGATTTAAAGAAAAAATAAGCTAAAGGTAAGAGAAGCTTTTGAAAGCTTTCTTAAAGATGAGACATTGCAAATATCATTTTTCAAACACGAAATGAAACTGAGTGGGTGCCTTATAAGCTGTAGCACACTCGCCAAGAAGTTTGTTATGTCACGAAGTAAAACCGAGTTGAAATCACCGGTTGGTGTTCGGACGTGTATTTCTTTTCAATTGATGTGCATATAAAAACACCGTTAAAGTGAAATAAAGTACTCCTAGGAGGTGTGATTCGAGACACCCGAGGCATTTGGGGCAAGCGTTCCAGCCGCTTCATATTTTTTGCGTCAAAATTATAACCATATTCGCACTATAGTTTCGTAGTATTATATTCATATTATGTTCTGTAGTAGTCCACATCATAAATTAATCGAACTGGGAAATTTAGCACACTTTTTCTCAAAGCATGGACTTGATCGGGTATTTTCGCCATTCTGATTCGCAATATAAGTAGCACTGAGCTAACCCCTGCATGTCATAACGCTGTTAGTATCTCTGTTTACTCTTCCTTGCTTTCATTCTTTGCAGTTTATTATAGAAAAAGCCCGAAATCGTTACCATAACTGACACGTTAGGGAGATGACGGAACGTACTCTTTCCGTGGTACCCAGTATATTTCATCAATCAACGTATGTTATCAGTCAATACGGACTTCGGAGAAATGTGGTGGCGAATTTACCTCTTGGCTTCAAAATGGATATTGAGTGACAATTGTATCAACTCACCCACCTTCCCATATATATATATATATATGTATGTATAAAATGCGTCTATATCAATTTTTTACAATTCTAAGCACGAGATTCGTCCTTTCTAGGGTGATAAGAAACGTTTAAAAGAAACGCAGCAACGTATAACTCAGATGGAAGCTGATTTTGAGAAAAAATGCCAGGAGGAAATACAGCAGATCCAAGCTCAAGAGAAAATTAACTGCCCAACTGGTCCTGCCGAAAATGGCGATGTTGAGGACGGCGATGAAGACGTCTATAATGGAGGTGATACAGGCGTGCGTAAAATCTCCAAAGCTGAAAAGAGACGGGAGAAAAAAAGGCTTATGGTTTGTCTTTTTCGTTCATGTTGATTTTACACGATTATGGTTGTTTGTGCGGCTCTGTTTAGACATCATTTAGAATCTTATACATTCATAATAATTTGATTAAATCCAGGCAGGAACTATTCCTTATAATGCTCAGGACACCGTTATTCATTTATAAAGCCTAACCTCATTTTCTCCTCATTTCAAGACTCCCTTGTGATAAAGGTTGCATTTTTTTGTTCTGGGTAGGAATTGGAACGGAATCGTCGAATTGCAGAGGAAGAAAAACAAAGTGAGGGTCGACCGCGAGCCATTGAAGATCAACTTCTTAAAAAAAAATTGGCTGAGAAAAAAATGCGTATCCATCAGATTGCCGCTGATGGAAACTGCCTTTTCAGTGCTGTTGCTCACCAGCTTTTGACGCGGTACGGTGAGACTATATCTGTTATGGAGGTGGGTACTGTAAGGTTACATAATGCAAAAATGCGAAAAAAATTACTTCGTCTCATTACTGTTCATCTACTCATATCGTTCTGTTACGAATAGGTTTATTGATGCACACACATGTCAGATTTTCACTCGAAGCTAGGGTGTATATAGGGAAGAGTAAAACAACGCTAATATACACTATATGCCTCACCTTCAGCTAGTAAATCTATTTTGCTAACTTTTGCTTTCCGTTTGCTGATTATTTTCTTATAAATAATAAGTATTTAGCTACTTAAAGATCATGTAGGGATGTGACTTATTCCAACTTGTATTCGTTGAGTACTTGTAGTGCTTCGTTCAACATATTTCAGCTCTAGGCAATTAATTGTCCTTGTTGTTGCTGTCAATTTGTTTTAGGTGCGGCGCAGATGTGTTCATCACTTACGCCAAAATCGTGAGGATTTTGAACCGTTCCTTGAGGAATCAGTGGATTTCGACGAATATTGCTCTAAGATGGAGACTGACCCATCACGATGGGGAGGCAATCTTGAGTTACGGGCAATTAGTCAGGAAATGGAACTTCTGATCACCGTGTACCAAGCGCAGGCACCTCCCTTTGAATTTGGAAATGGTCCTGATACTGAAAGCAATAGCGAAAAACGCCACTTGCGCCTCAGTTACCACCATCATCTAATTTGGACTGGTGCACACTATAATTCAGTCGTTGACATGCGACCCGATGAAACTGACGGAGAGTCTGTTAGCTAAGAGCGACACGAATCAAATAATGGGACAGCAATCGTAACAACTGACTCGTTCGAATTATGATACAAGTCATCTAGAGCTAACTTACTTACCTCGCGTGAGATGTTTGCCGTTGAATGATATTCTCAACAGCTGGGTATCTCATACTTATGCCTCAAAGCAGTGTCCCAAACGGGTTCTGTTTGTCACGATCAAAAGCATACTGACACCATTTTTGTTACTAAAACGAATATTATACAATATTTGCCATGTTACAGCGTTAACTAACAAAAACGCTGAAGCAGTTACGAACATGTGGCATAAGCTGCTCGGTTTGTTGCGATGTATAGGCAGAAAATTTTGCCAATGTATGATATATAAAGCAGCCTACTAATTTAAGGTTTTTTTTTTATATTGTGTACATATTTCTCTCCCCCCCCTCTCTCTCTCCCTCTCTCTCTCTCTCTCTCTCTCTATATATATATATATATATATATATATATATATATATATATATATTAGGATTGTCGGAAAAAACTACTGACAGGGTGTTTAAGCCAAAATTGAAACAAATATTTTTTACATTTTAAAGAAATATTACTAAACTAGTTAGGCGATTTATAATCAATGACCTTTTGCCATTGCTCAGGCAACACTGCAATCCTAGCACTATGAAACTTCTGTGGTTCCTGGGCTTATATATATAAGAAGTGATTTTTACATGCCTTTATTAACGCAACTAAGAAAGTTCTTCTGAGACTGAAATAGGTAATAGTATAATGCAAGACACGGGCTATGGCGAATGCAATAAAACTTGTCATCTAAGTTCTCTCAATTTTTTTACCGAATAGCTAAAAATATATGGGGTCTGGCATTGTCATGGTAAAAGATGACGCTCTTTCACTAATTCCGGTTCATTTTTTTAATATCCTGTTGTAAATTTGTTAGTTATTGACCGTATTGTCCAAATAGATCGTCTCGCCAGTAACTCATAATGCACGATTTTTTTAACCGCACCAAATACGTAGCATTACCTTTTTCGCATTAGTCTAAGCTTTGTTAGAGACTGTGGAGCACTTTTTTTGTTATGTGCACCCTATTGACTCGATTTCGTTGGGTTTCCGTAGTATTTTGTGGATGAAAATATGGATAAAATAAATTATCTTGCGTCAATTTGAGTAGGATCTATGTATGATATTTTTTCTTTGTAACTAAATGTTCAGTATTATTAATGTTTTACATGACATACTGGGGATAACGATAAACTATTAATTTACAAATTCTAACGAACAGTTGATTCGATGTGTGGCGTATTTTCTAAGTTGAGGCTCCTAAATCGTTCAGTGTCATCGCTTTTCTTTCAAAATTCTTATGTTCAACATATCTCCACGAAAAGAGACTACTGACGTTAGGTATGGGGCACAAGGTATTCTGTGAGATCACATGGTTTGCACCATCTGTTTGGAAAATTCTTTTATGTCCTTAAATTACAATGATTTTTCCAAACAATAGCCCTTAGAAACTGTGCATCCTGCCTACATTTTTCAAACACCACTCGCTAAATTGTTTTCTTCGGTCTGGGTCATCTTCATTGACATCATATACCATTATCGAATGTAATCTTTTTATTTGCAGTATCTTAAAATGCGATAGACACCTAATTTGCGGATGTTAAGCTCACGGCTTGAGTGTCCAGTGGTTTCTGAGATGTTTCGCTATCATTTTCCGATTCTTACTTTTTAAAGCTTTTTGATGTTCTTGGTCTTTCGGAACGTGCCACGAGCATCCGCACAGTTCCATCCACCTTAAACGTTTTTCTTTTCAATTGATTGTGAGTGACGAAGATGGTTCTGTTCGAAACGGCCTGCGATATTTTATTTGCATTTTTGTGAAATTATGTACTTCTAATAGCATCTTTACCTTTTATACCTTTTTTGCGTAGGTTGAAGACTCAATATCTGTGAACTTTAGTAGAAATATTATAGCTAGTTTGCAACAAAAAAAAATGTGTGCCTCTCATTACTAAGCTCAGCGTGAATCATGTTTGACAAGTTAGACAATCACTTTATTAGCGACTCTGCCACTGACATATTTTACACTATATGTGTGATCAAAAAAGTTTATAACGGGAAAGCTGGTATCCTGCATTAGGGTTCGTTTTAGGAATGTTGAGAAGGGTCTCTAAGAACTACATCTATTGAAGGCAAAATACGTCCGACTTAGCTAGGCTTGCCAAGTCAGTGTAGGTTTATTACTTACATGTCGTCATGAAGGTTGCCAACATTCTATTGCATTATCACTATTCTTGTAACCTATTCTTGTATTTACTATTCTTGTAATCTGCGACCTCTTAACTTGAATGCCCACACAATAAGGTCCTTAGGAAGAACAAAAGGCGAAGGGGCTGTCACTAATGCTGCTAGCCCTTCAGACAACGCAATTAGTGCGGCCGTAGGATTGGGCAACTGTAGTTGCCTTTGAAGTCATTAAATGCAGGGATGGAAAGCATATTTATTGTTCGGGCTGACCACTGTTATATATTTAGGATGTCACTAATTACCTATATTTATTCATCGAATGACGTTAAATGTTTGAGTAAAAGTGACTATACTAAATTACCTTGTTTAAGTTCACTGAAATAACAAGTATCTGACTCTAGATACTAGTAGCCATTGACATCACAGATCTGGCGGCAGGTCATGCTTACAGCCCTTAAGAAGACTTAAAGAGACGAAATGTCAGAATGGCAATTGGCGCTCAGGATCCTGAAGGTTTTCAAAACCGACTCTTCCAGAATCAGGGTACGCGGGCTACACAAACGATGAAACAGATCCTACTAGTGATACTATTACTAGAATAACAGCAGCGAAGAAGCTCTATTATCTGGGAGCTTCATGATAAGCTTGCTAAGTTCTCGTACTATCCCGCAAATATGTTCGAAAGCTGGTATACCAAATACAAATACACGCTCGCCAAAAATGATCGTACCGTAACAGAAGAAGACAAAATCTAATTTTTGACTCGTTTGTTTCAATCACTACCGTTGACATAGACTCCAGCACAAATGGATCTTGGCAGTACGACAGTTTTTTGGTCGTAACCGGTCGTCAAGTTTGCGTCAAGGATACGTATTCTTGAAGGTGACATGTGAGAACTGTTCTAGCTCTACTTTCGATGGGTATACCTGTAAAATATCAAATGCCAGAAATTTCGGCAATCTTTGAGAACCCACTTGAATGTTTTACATGAGTCTTCGGTTTATTAAAACCTGAATACGAAGACAGGTAGTTCTGACGTGCTTGACGAAAAAGCGAACACTACCGTCGCAACACGTAGAACGTTACGCTAACAGTGCACACAATAAACAACGCGTTTTGATTAAAACCTCCAATCCATGGGATGCGGTGCATTACACTGGATAGTAGTGCCCCTTTTTCAGATTATAATAAGGTTGCCATAAAAGAAAAATACTGTTTTGCGGAAAGCATACATGATTTAGAGGATTAAACAGTAAGATCAATAGCAGGTCTTCTCATGAAAATGCGCGTAGATCCAACATCTCTAAACGTGCAATTGAAGGGGTCTACTACGAAGCTCAGAAGGATCTGGTAACGCGGCGGCAGATTTTATTAACCGGAATCTAAATACTAAACTGTAAACAATAATTGTAGGCTTTCTACTTCTATTTTTATACAATGTATACAGTACATATACAGAACAAGAATATAAGATATCAGATCCAATGTTACTGAAATAAATGAAACATCGAATTAATTCCCACTATTATCTTGAAATCACTCACTACGTGCAGCCAACATCCAGAAATTTAATTGCTTGGGAGATTTCAAACTACGCGGCGAATACTAACGAAACCATCGCAATGTTGTTATTATACTCTACCAGTCTTAGACAATTCTTGAACGTTAAAGGTATAAGAATATGATGGTCGAGAGTATCCGAAGCTCCACTTAAACTACAAAAGCAGTGGTTTTTAGAGAAACTGGTTCTTAAGAAAATCAGTCCTTAAAAAAAAACAGAGAATTTGGTAAGCAATCTAAAACAGGTATACCCCCAGCATTTCCGCTATGGGCGAATCGAGACGAGTTTCATACCATATTTTTCGTCAGGTAGTGAATGAAATACTTAAAACTGGCATTCGTAGCAAATCATAGCGGGTCACTTATTCAGGTGATTTGTCAGTAAGTTTAGAAACCATTCTACTTGTTAGTGTCTCACTAACTCAGAACAAGATTCTAGTTCTATATACTGTAAAAAGTAAGTGTGGTAACTTTTATAATATAATAAGTGATCTAACCACCAATTGACCAATCACCATTGTTAAGAACTAACTATGGTATTTCTACTTAAAAAAGGACAATCACAAAACATGTGCTATGCCTTTTTAGAAATTTCCAAATCATCAAACGCGAATATTCCTTGAAAGGTCCTTAAGCAAAATATCTATATAATCAATAATTGTGTCCATCAGACTAAACAAGTTTGGTCATACTGCTGAGAACCTAGCATACTAGATTTTCATCGTTTAAACAAGAGTAATAATAATGCTCATTTTTTGTCAAAAAGGTAAGCGAACTCTGAGTATGCTCTATCATTTATGTTGTACATCATGTCCACATTCAAGAATGAAGACAGGCGTCATCATCAAAATAATCACATAATCATATATAT